GAACAGAAATCAGAAGCTTTGAAACGCCATTCCAGAATTGAGTCGTGGGTCGAAAAACCAATATTTAGCTGCATGTCTAATTATTTAGAAACTCTAGAAGTGTTTTGAATCTCAAAGAATTAATCGCTCCGACAAGCTCTGTTTTTTTTTTGGCCCGAATTCCATTTATCATTCTCTGTTCTTCTGCTCAAGTTTGACAAATGCTGACAAGTCGGCCACGTGTCCTCATAGTTTTTCTTATTCTTATTGATGTATGAGATCTCAGATTCGAATGAAAAAATCTGAATAAAAAGGATGTCTCTTGGGGGCTGAGTAACCCGGTTGTCTATAAAAATCCATTCATCATCTTTTCGGCTTCCCTCTTTTTGATCTACTTGTCATTTGGCCTTTTTTCGCGCCTTCATGAAAATCTCTCGTTTTTTTTTCTTTTACTTTATTCAGAAGTTCTTCAAAACTAATAACGAAGGTTTTTGAAGTTTAACCATCACTAGAGGGTGCTTGACAGTTATTCAGGAAACACTCAAATCGAAATTTTCACTGCGCCATGACAACTTTTGAACTCAGTGTGTGATTATATGGTCAAACGTATCAGATTATACATGGTCAAACGTAATTCTTTTTTTTCATAATGTTGCAATTTTCGTGCCGTGTTCAAAGAAATTTCGGCGAGTTCAAAATTGACGCGTTATCGTTTATAATGATTCCAGTAAATAGGCAGAATTGGAACTCCAGGAGCTTTTAGATAAATTGAGTACTCCAAAGATACATCGCTATTTGGGACTCTTAAGCGTGATCTTAAAATTTCGTTTGGAAATGCTCAAATGATTACAAAATTTTGCCAGTTTCGCGAAAAAAATTTTGAACGAATATTCGGCAATTTCCAAATTCCTTGATTGAGTTGAATATATTCAATAAAAAAATGTGTTCAGGAAAAAAATCACAATTCTGTATAAAAAAATCACAATTCTGTTTAAGTTTTTCTCCATAACATTTTTTTCGGTTTCAATTTTTCAGGATAAAGAATTTTTCTTGAAGATGTTTTAAACAATGTTTCGATTATATTTTTTTAAAACTTCGTGGATAATGGAATACGACCTGTTTTTCTTGTCATTAACACTATGAACTGGAGGAACAACATAATCACTATCTAGTCGAAAACTCGATCTTGGAATCTATTGCCGTCAAAAAGTAGCCTCTTGAGTGTTCGGCACTTAACGGACGAACGAATTCTAAAGCGGTTTTTCTTCCTTTTGAATCATTTTCCCGGTGTTTCCCCTCTGTTAAAATTCAGAAATCGTGTTCGTCGTGGAAAATTGAAACGTGGAGTCTAGATGGCCTGCGAAGCGCCGGCGCCCAGCTGCGTCGACGGCGTTTTCGGTCCGTGGTGTTACGGTTAATCGATCTATACAGTATCAAATGGTCTCCAACCCCAAGTCCAGTTTTTCAAATCAGAACTTTAATTTCAAATTTTTTCAAATTTTTTTTGTTCGTTAGATTATGAATGCCCAATTATTTGAGCGGCGATGCTTTGCAAAAGCATTTTCAAAGTATTTTGGGAGTTTTTGACATTCTGTGAAACTTTTCAGTTAGGACCTTCCATAAAAAAAGACTAGGTAGTCTAGCTGAATCCAAAGCCTACTGTCTTTCTTCAAAATTCTTATACTTCTGTTTTCAATAACTAGGACAACGCGGCAACTTTTTCACGACAACGATCCTTCAAAAGATCGAACAGTCTTCTGAATTCAGAGGAGACGTTGACTAATGGTCAGCACTTTTTGCCCTTCTGAGTCTTTGTGTAGTACCGTAACCCGCGTCTTTTGCCTCTTGATGAATATTCAAAACCTTTGTGTGGGTACGGTAATTGGACAGGGTCAAGCATATGGTGTTATTGGATTTTTGTTCCAAGTACACATGTTAAATCCATATTCCTTCTACTCGACAGTCTTTTTCCCATGTAGTAGTTCGAAGTATTCTCTCTTCTGAACTTTCACAGTTCTCTCTCTAGTTCACTCAACAGCAGTTGACGAATTCCGAGGACAACTCAAACCGCGCCGTACTTTGTCACCTTCTCAATAAGAAACAGAATAGTGTGAAAACTTCGAATGGTTTGCGTATTCCATCCCAAGCTGTCGAAATCTGACTTCGTTTTTACTATTTTATTAAATACGACCTCTGGAAACCTTGTTTTTGAATAACGCCGCAACACATACGAAAGAAATCAATTTTTTACAACTTCCTTCAGATTTTTCTTCAGGTGATTTTTCAGGGGCATGAAATAAGCGCAAATCCCTCTTTTTTTTACTTATAACGATTTATTTCATTATTCAGTGTGGTTATATTGATGTCGATTCAAAAAACTGTTTTCTGTTCTTAACATACAAGAATTTGAAATAAAATTTTTGGATATTAGACCGTTGTGGGAATCAAGTAATTTTTAAATAGTGGATTTTTCCAATTTAAACAAAGATGGAAATTCAATTTTTTTCGCAGGAGATATCGTAACTTTTACAATGTGCTTCTCGTGCTTCTTGAAGCGATGATCTACCTTACACTTTCTGGTTCCTCAAAATACACCAGGCATTTCTCTTTCTTATAATGTTAATGTAATTGCTGCGGTCGCGTTGACCTGTGAAACGATAGCGGATTATTTGTGTAAGCTGAAGAGAGGCCACTCAGAATCCGACGCCCTGGAAATTGATCACCCGTGAGACTTTTGTTGGCAAAAGTTGCATTGTTGTCGAGCAATAAATTATGAAGTCTTACAGCGGCGGACGGTTGTCTGATGAGTTTCGGCAAATGCGCTCCATCGCTCGCCTGCCTCCGGCTACCATAATCCAGATAACCTGTAGCTTCTTTTTCAGCTTCTCCTATCTGCTGATTTTTCTTGAAAACGGCTGATTTGACAAAAATTATAATAAAAATTTTTCAGGGAATTTTTAGAACTGCGTTAGATTCAATTTTTTTTTTTGGATGTTTTGAAATATTAACTAGCGAGGACGAGAAAGTATTTGGCTTTTCATACATTCTATCGAACTGCTGTAAAATGCAATCGAAAATCATTTCGTTTACGCCTTCGATCTATTTCCTCACTTTTCTCCTTCTAAAAAAAGTACAACTTTTGACTCAAGAATAGATCTTCTCAAATGCTCCCCCTCAAACGAATCGTTCTTTCATTGCTGAATCAGGTCCTACGAGAATGATGGACGATCCAATCTGGCCTAGCACTACCGTATGCGCAGCACAAAAAAAATTAATGAACCTCGGGGCGGTTTACCTGACTTTGAGTGATTGTTTTCGGCTTTTGCAGCCTTTCCGCGTTTCATTTTTCTAGTCCTTTTACGCTCAAGTCAAATCCATCTTTCCTTTACTTACATAAATTTACATGACTACTCTTCGCTTATTTACTCCGCAAAAGTATTAATAATCTAAATAACTTGGAAAACCAGATTTTTTTCCAGCTGTATTATTTGAATGACTTTTTTCAAGTACCGAGTCTATTTTTCAGTTTTTTCCAATCTCCGCCTAGCTGTTTCCCATGTTACAAACGGTAGTTTTCAGGCTGTCAAACACATTAACCTCGTCATTGGCGACATTAATAAGGCAGAAAAGCAATAAACTTAACGCGATACCACTACTTTGCGTGACTGATTCCTATTGTGTTTACCTCAAAGTAGGACATTAACCCATTTTGCGGAGTTTTTATCTTCAAGAAAGTCAATAAGAGGCGAAGGAGCTTAACTACTGAACTTGTTTTTTTTTATACAAAACTTTAGTCATCGTTTTCGTAAACTATAGCGATTCCAATAGAAAAGATGAAATTATTAGCGAACAATTGATTGACAAAGAAGTTTATTTTTTTATTTCGGCAAGGATTTCTGCTGAAAACTCTATCAAAAACTCAAAGTTTAAGATGCATGTTCTGAGTGTTTAAACTTGGAAAATTCTTTTGTATGATAACTTAATTTCCCATGACCCAATCATGCTAGATTTTTTCTTTCGATTTGGAGCATCGGTTCTTGAAAATATTGCAAATTGATGGGGGTTTCAAAATCAGTGTTTTGAACATTAAAAGGGTCTAGTCCATTGTGAGAAAAAGGTCAGAAAAACTGACCACCATTTCGAAAGCTTAAGGAAGGTTAGTTTCAGGATATTAAATTTGAAAATTAGACAGGAAGTTGGATTTTTTTTTGTTGTTTTGTTGAAATTGAAACTTCTAATTATTAGAATCTACTAAGTTTTTTTTTCTGAGTTATTATTCTTCTTGCTGCGCCTTTGTACTGCTCGAGCGACGTCTGCGTCCCAAGTCAACTCCTCGGTTGGGTCGCGGCGGGGATCGAACTTGTGACCCTGTGGACTGTAGAAAGGCACACATTCTGTTGCGCTACGCTACCTTTTCTCAAAAAAATAATTTAAAAAGAAAAGTATCAGAGAAGAAAAAAATCTCTTTGTAGTTAGTTTCCTTTTTCTCAGTGAATGATGTGACTGTTGGAAGTTATATATTCAACTAATCCACAATCTGATTAGATCTTTTGATCTTTTCTTTCGTTTCTTCCAATCTTTTTATTTTTATATAAAACGGAATCATGAAGGTAAACAACGTCTCCTAATAAACTTGGACGAGATCGGATTTTTATAAAATAACGCGTAATCTTTTTTTGGTTATGAACAAACTAAAAGCAGTTTTCCCGCTGTGTTTGATAACTCATTTTTATACTCACAATCTCTGAGCCAGAAAAAAAAGTCAAACTGGAGTAGTTATTTTTCGAATTGAACTTCTATGATTTTCATGAAAATTATTGAAATACTTAGCAAAAGGTATAGCTTTTCCACTTCTACTGCTACAGACCGATGGAAGCTCATAGGGATTTTTAAAGAACTTTCATTGATTTTGACGAAACGTCTAATCAACTAGCCTATATGGATCTAAAAACCCTGCTCGGGAGCTTGTTTGACCAAAGCGACGAGGGAAATCACAAGAACAAGTGCCGGCGTGGTTGGTGTCAGAAAATCCGGTGAGATTGCCCGAGGCGGCAACACTTCAAAGCCGTTGGCTTACGGTAGTTGACGAGAGCTTCATCGTGCCGCCGCGGCTTCTTGTCGGGACACGCCGCCGCCGACGAGTGCTCGGAGCGTCCAGACACCCGCTCTTTACCGGATTCTGGTGCACAAAGCCAGTATCTCTACTAAAGACTTTTTTTTTTTCTTACCGTACTTCATCTACCCATTGGTCTTGTGGAGAAAAAAAAACTAGATGTAAACAGCAAGTATATATTTAATCCCTTAATTCCATTTCCTGAGATGTTTAGTTAAAAAAGATGTTGGGAACATGTCCGAATAAAATCACCACGTCTTCGGTAATGTTTATTCCGAAGTAAATTTTTTCATTTTAAATTTAATTTCGGAGTTTGATGAGAAGTCTTTAAATCTGAAAATTTTTAGTATTTAAATCTTTTCTTAGTTTAAGTCTCTTATATTCTGTGCACTGTAAATAGACAAAGTCGGAAGGACCCTCCGAGGGTGATAAAGGCTGCTGGAAGGCTCCATAGAAATTTTCCTTTTAGGGTGATGAAGGGTCCCTTTTTGCTGCCTTTTTGCTTCATTTTCTCAGCCCTTATGCACTATTTTTGCGGCCTCTCCCTTTCTCCACTATTTCTTGAGCCTTCAAACTCCAAGAAAAATGGAAGGCTCGATAAAGGGAGTCTCTTTGCTGCCTTTCTACGGCCTTTTTTGAGCCTCTTCCTTTTAACGGCCATTATCCATCATTCCGACTTTTCCCGAGTAATTTTTGTGTGAGTGACATGATTCAATAAAGGTCGCCATGGAAAAAAAAGGTCAGATTTGTGGGAAAGGAACTTTTTCGCATTTATATTCAAAATGAAGGAGCAAATAACAGTTTCCGTTCTTTTTGAATTATTATTAGGAAAGAGCTCGTTTGGGGGCAAATTTTACATTTCACTAGGTATTTTGATTGTTATGGCCAAACCAGAGATTCAAAATAATTACTGGTCTTGTAATACTGGATTTTTTTCGAAGACTAATAAATTTTTCTTTTTGTTTATTTTTTTCTTCGGTTATTGGTATAAAAGTTAAAGCGAAGTTTTTTTCTGATGAGATTCTTAATTTATTCGAAGAAAAAAAATTAAGTTTATCGTATTTTTTTAACTTCATTCAATCTTTCAACTTTCATTGTCATCGTCACTAACGAATTTTTTTAACAAAATTAAATTAATTAAATAATGGCTTGCTCGGATCCTTCTTTTCTTCTTTCCATCTTCATTTTTGAGTTTGAATTCTACTAGAAACCAATCTGGAACAGAAGAAAAAAAGATTTTTGAGTTTTTGATCAATCTCCTAGCTTGATAAATTTTTTAGGAAGTAGAATTTTTCACATTATTTTTTGTTTTTGTTAATAATCGTTTTCAATTTAGAAGTTTTGGAGAAAAATTTTTGTTTGAGAGCCCGGACTCAGGCCTATGCAGAAGGACTCGGCCGTCCGAGGCCAGTGATGAATCGGCGTGGCCGCGAAATCTGGCATCTGCCACCACTATCTTCGTCTTTTCATCTTCGCCGCCAAACTTTGGACGGCGAACGTGCCAGATCATATCAGACGCGCGCCTTTTTGTCACTTTTCCGTTATCCGAGGCTCAATTTTTGATTTGTTTTCTTTTTCTTGTCGCTAAATGTCTTCCGGGAAACTTGAAACGAATTGACACTCAAGTTTTGAGATCAAAATCAAGTTCTGAAGAAAAGGATAATTATTTCTCTCAATAAAACTAGTAGCTGACAATTTCGAAATGCTATTAAAAAAACAACTATTTTTAATTTGAAAAAAAAATTTTTTTAAAAACCATCTTTCAGAAAAAAAGCAAGCGTTCATAATGAAGGAATTTCCGAAAAATTGTGAACTGCAGTACTGGTTATGAAGGCAACATTTTGCAAAAAGTTATTAGCAAGAGAAAATTAAAAGAATGTTCGAAAACAAGAAATTCCGCGAAATTTGAACTACTTTCTCAATTGAATTTAATAACTAACGAGACAGTTTTGTACGATTCAGCCCACCGATCGATAACTTTTTCATTATTCTTAACCGCGAAGGCTTGAGAAAAGGGTTTCTATAAAAGAGAATTTTAAAAAAGATTATAAAAAAAATGAGTTTGTTAGAAAAAAACAATTTAGAAATTATACTTCGAGTCGTAGCTGCCGAAAAAGGCCAAGGGACAGTCAAAAACGAAAAGACTGCGGATGTGCGGATAGAAACAAAAAAAGGCGCTTCTCGTCTGATATGGCGACTCCGGTCCCAATGACCCTCAAAAAAAGTGGTGATCCATCGCAGAAGCTTCGTTCATCTTGCAATATGGCCACCTCCGGAGGCGCTGCTGCCACGCCTTTCGGCCATGGACCAATCAGCGATTGCATGGGCGGAGTCTCGGCGGCTGGCGCCCGTCGCGACAAACGCCATCGACCACTTTAACGAGGTGCGATTTGTTAAAATTTTTGCAGCTCAGCCGTCGAGTCACCCCTCTGAAGGGATCCCTTGGAAAGCCGCAGAAACGACGCTGAATCACAGTTTTCTCTGGCCTTTTCATCTCTAATTTTTTTCGGATTTTTTTCAAAATTTTTCTCAAAATATTTGAATACTTTTTCTGCTGTTTTGTCCCATGAATTCTCTTCGTCAATCAAAATTAAATAGAGAAGGACTGTGGTTGAACTTTCTTATCAAACTCATCACTCCGTTCCTCAATCAATATCTCACGTCTGTGAAATCCGTTCATTCATTGGAAGAGAAAAATTGAATCAGAGTTGAGATAGGTTGAAAGTTCCATTCAAAACGAACGAATCCTTTCGTAAGAAGGAATTTTTCTTAACTTTAGAATATTTTGTATCCTAACCTTTTTTCTATCTGATAATAAGACTCGAAACGGAGCACGTGAATTTATTGTAAGTCATTCAATAATTTTCTCATAACCCTTCGTTTCTCTTCTACTCAATCTGTTTAAAAACTGTTTATTGCATCTCCAATGTAAGATTACATGTGCAATCGACTTTCATTGGTTTAACTGTGTTTAAACGGCGGCAGGAGCTGTGGATTAGGCAGAGAAGTTGTGAGTTTCGCTCGTAGAACTTTATCAACTTATAATCTCTCTGTTTTGAACTTCTCTTTTTTCATACAAACATCAAATAACGTAAGTTTCTCTTTTTTTAAGTTTCTTTTCCGATATTTCGCCTCTTTCGTACAACTGTCTTAATTCCACGTTTTTCTCTTATCTAATTTTCGAAATTCTCGTTGAGAAATGACGACGTCAACGTCGTCGCCGAGCAGCGCCGCGCCGCCGAACGCCGAGTATTCTGGCGGGACGACGTCTTCTGTAGCGACGTCGTCGCCGTCGGGCTTCTACTACGAGCCTCCGAGTCCTTCGCAACACGCAGCCGCCGCTGCCGCCTACTTTGCACAGCACGGCTCCATGTCCGCATATCCTGGAGTCAATCTTTCTGAAGCCGTGAGTCATTCAAACAATCATCGTTTTATCGTTTCGTCATTTTAATTTTTGGTCAAAACTATCCTGAACCCAGATTTTCCGAAACGATTTTTTTGCATTTCAGGAAATCTAAATTCTTCTCATCTTCATGTTTATTCTTAGCTCCTGTTGGTGTTTACTCATTTTAAGTTACGACTGTCTATTTTTTAGTTTTTATTTTGAATTTCTCAGAACTATTTTCAGTAACTCTTCATTAATAATGACAAACAGAACATTAAAGATGGCATTATTTGCCTTTTTTTTTAGTTTCTATGCTTATTTTTGGTTAACCAGGAAGAGCTGAAAAAACGGCTTCAATCAGTTTTTTTTCTATCACGCTCGACCAATTAGACTCCGTCAGACGGTATCGAAAACTAACAAGTGGAATAAATCTTTGAAACGACGCAAATACATCACCAAAGGTGCGAGCGAACGTTTTAATGGCCCCATTAAATTGACAAAACGTCTTTTGCCGGAGGACCGCGACGCAAGTTTGACGCGTCGCGTGTAGCCTTCTTTCAACGAGAACGCAGTTTTTGATTTTAAGATTTATCGGATCTTAAATTTATCAATCCATTTCATCCGAACTAAGATTTAAATCAATTAGGAAATTTCTCACTTATGGACACAGTAGTTTTTTTATTCTTTATTAGTTTTATCAAGTTTAACCAAAAACAATCCACATTTGAAAATATACACTGTAGTGTATAATTGAATAAAACAAACGTGAGTTGACACGATGTGCAAATGAAAAAAAAAGAAAGAAAAATGTGGCGAGTTGCCAAACGTCGGCCACGATAATGAGCCGATTGGACTGCGGCGCCAGATTTTTTGCCTCAGACTCGTCTTCCGGCCAACTTTTTGCATTTATCGCAGAAACCTTGTTTTCAAAAATTAGACTTCTTCTTAACTTTTTTTAGATAATCGATTAACATCCAAAAAAAAGCTCCGCTCGTACTCTTCGCTCTGTTTATTATTATATATTTTTTTAATATTCAAGATCTTCGTAATGCGAAAAAAAGGCCTGGGCTGTCATTTGATTCAATTTCAAGTTTTGTTGTTTTTTGCTTTCAAATTGCATTTGAGTGAGAAGCGAGTGAACCGATCGATAATCGGCCATCGATGCTTATCTCCGGGCGCCTTTTTGATTTATTGTGACTATACGGGCTGGGCGGACAGTTACAGTACTCTTTCCTCAATTCCTTTTGTCCTTTTTGATAACAGGTTTCGAAGAAGTTGGAGGTTCACTCGATATGAAAAGAACTTTCCATGGAAAAATTGAAAAAAAAAAAATCAAAAAACGGAGGAAAATTTTAAAGATACACGACTCGAACCGCCAGAGTACGGCATTTGGGGGCTGCATGCAGAACGGTCGCATCCTTTTTTGGGCGCGAAATCGCAGTTCGGGTTTTTCTAAACTTTTTTTGTTAATGAATTTAATTTTTTACGTTAGTTACCTCTCACTTTTCAGTCATTTGCTTCAGCATTTATTGTATCAATGAAGAGAAAAGGTTTTCTCAAAAAAAGTACATTAGTTCGACAAGTTTCTGAATTCGCGCCAAAAGAGCGTCGCTACTCTGTGTGCGACTCACAAATACGGCAACCCGGCGTTTCAAGTCGTGAAACATGAGCTCTTTTTCCTATATTACCATGTAAATCCCCCGGATTTTCGTTTCAGCTGATTGAAAAAAAAAAGTTCTTGGAAGGAGTGAAAAGTAGTAAACATTAAATTTTTAGGGTCTGTGTTATGGACAAGAGTGGAAGGAAGACGAGAAGGAGAAGAAAGACGACGACTCGGACAAATCCGGTGCCTCCGGAGCCGCCGTCTACCCTTGGATGACGCGAGTTCACTCCACAGCCAGTACGTTTCGCCAAAAAAAGGCCGACAAGCTTTTTTTTTCTCTACGAAGAAAAGCTCCAAAACTAGGGACAATAAATAAGAAGAAGCTTAGAGGAGCGAAAAACAGTTCCGCTGGACGTCTATCGGGGCAAATAATTCATCGGAAAGCGCGGCGCTCCGCCTCATAAATCAAGAGCACACGCGCCATGTTGCGATCTGCTTTGTTCTCCGTCAGGACTAATCGATTCGTCGTCCCTCCAAATAACTTGATTCTCTGCTTTTTTGATTCAAATTTTAGGAACTTCACGAAAAAAAGCCAAAGCTCTATTTCCGACTCACAAAAAAAACTACTTAGTTACGAAATATGGATTATTTCACCATTGAGAATCATTACACTAACATTATTTTCAGATTTAGAGTTTTATTTTATTTTGTTTAATGAAACTGGTTTTTCGAGAAGTAGAGTCAAGCAACACGGTCTGTCTTTCATGTCTTTCACCTTTTTACAGTCCTGGAGCGAGTTCCTTCAATGCCAAGCAACTAGCCTTTGTTATTTTTTAGGCGTTTCAGACGTATTTATACTATGAAAAAATTTTGAACCCAGAAATTTCAATGAAAACCAGTTCAAAAGAGATTTCATTAATATCTGACAAGAAAGGTCATTTTACTTTGCGATTAAGATTTTTCTAAAAATCGGCAAGAACACTCATTGATAACCCAGAGGGAAAAATCTCGACTTGTACAGATTCCTGGTTTTTGAAAAAGTCAAATAAAAACTTCAATGAGTCAAAAAGGCTAATTTTGAGGCTTTCAGGCCTCACCTATCTTGAAAACTAGAGAGTTTGGCAGGTTGTGAATTTCAGAATCTTCTTTTAGTACAACGAGGTGTGTTCCCGTCAAATTTCAAAAATTTCAAATTTCCAACCGCAACGTAAAATGATTTTCTTGGCGAAAGGAGACGAGTTTGAGCGACGCCTTTTCACGTTTTCCGGTTTTCATGGCTTTTAAACAATTTTTTTTCATTTTTTCCATCAATTTTTGAGGATGTCGGAAAGATTTGGAACTGTAGATCAATTTATCAGAGTTCTTTGGTCGCTGAAACCGCTCGAAACACAAAAAAATCTTAAATTTTTAATATTTTTTTAAATTGGATTCAATGAAAGAAGAAAAAAAGGTTATAGGTTCTCCCTATTTTAGTAGGTGGAAACTAGAGATAAATAACCAAGCTACCGTAATCTGCGGGGGTCAAAAAGAAGACGTCGCGTGTCACGTCTCTATCGGTCTCGGCTCCGCCGTCTTCCGCCGGCGACTTGTCGGTACGCCTACGAGCTGAGCACTTTCAACAATCAATTCTTCGGAATCAGATAATTTTCTGAATCATGCACAGTTTGGACTTGTTGAGAACTCTGGAAGAATCCTCGGTAGAAATTGATGAAAAAGGACCGAACGATGGCCGTCAGGTGCCGGCGACCTGTCACAACATTGACCACAGCAAGTCCGCGAGACGGGTGTAAACGACGGCGTCCTTTTGATCCGCTGATCGATTATCGCTTAAACAAGTTGTCCTCGCAGAAGCTCGCGGCTCCTTTCATCTCCGGGCGGCCTGATTTCGCAGATGCTCACGATTTGATACCAATAAGTTATTCCGTCTAGAGACCCAAGTTTTTAGAAAAACTATTTTGCCACCGTCTGAGATAGAACGAGAGGTAATATTTAAAAATATGCGGAAAGCTGAAAACTATAAATTTTCAATTTATCTCAAGTTCTTTCCTGAGGAACTTTCTCATTTAACTTTTTCAATAGCAATGAAATTTTTGTATGAGCTCTACCGTTTTGTTCTCTACCGTGCCAAGAAACGACAAACCGAAACACAGCCCAACAAGTGGACGCTTGTTCAAGGTTTTTTTCAAATGTAGTACTTGCTTTGAGAACGCAAAATGCGAAAAATTGCAGCGAACGTTTCAAAAATAAAAATTAACTTACATATAGTCAGGGAACCAAAAGATCAAAGCACTGTGTCCCGCATACAAAATATTCATGAAGAAGCAGAAAATAATTGACTTTTCTATCGAAGGAATACATCAAATGAATACATAACTTCAGCAGCTATTTAGGATGAAATTTGTGTTTATTGGTTCGAAAAAAAACCTCTTTTTGCGCATTAAGTCACTTAATTTAAGTGGATCCTCCAGGAGGCAGACGAGCAGGTGTTTGCCTCTGGGAACCGGCGTTTTCCCACGGCTTCAGTCCATCTGGGTCGCCTCGAGACTCGGCACCTTGCGAATCCGGCAAATGGATGACGTTTCGTCACGTACATCAAGGCCGGAAGAAGTCGCAAAGGAACAGTGATTCAATAGTTACCACTCAGAGATCAAATTTATTCACTCGGGTCTTTTGAAGTTTTATAAAAACGGCTTTTTTTTCGTGAAATTTTTAGCTGAATTTTGGGGGAGAAATCGAAAGAAATAGAGTTAGTGCATATACTGATGTATTTTTAGTAATCTGGATGAAAGAAGAACCTTGAAAGAGAAATTACTTTTTTATGCTATTTTTTGACAGAATTTGAACGATATAAGCCGATTTAAGTCACTTTCTGAATGAACTTTTCAGAATATCGTTGACTTCTCGCTTTTTTCCGAAAATTACCCGCTCAAGATTTTCTTTTCTGTGCGTCTCAATGATCTTTCACCGCCAGAGACATATTTACACTGTTAGAAAAAGACTCAAATCAAGAAATTTTCTATAAACAAGAAGTTTTTAAGGTCACCAATGCTCTTCTAGCTTTTTTAAGACGCGCAGATCTTATTCAAACATTAAGAAACCTCGTTTTATTTCACAATTTTCCTTTGTCAATCAAATTCCTGCGTCTCAAATTTGCTGTTTTACACGACCATTATGCGAGTCGACGATTTTTCTTTCTGCCTGCAATTTTGATGAGCGAGCAATTGCGGAGGCCGCAAAAAGCCGCGATTGTTCCATTTTTCATCTGTCGGGTCTTGCGCTGACGTCGCGACGGCGACACGAGCACGCCATTTCTCACTGATTTTCGGGGGTCGCTCCCAGTTAGAAGAGCTCAGTTCGAATGTTCTCGTTCATGAAAATTCAGCTTTTCCAGTTTTCTTCAGCATACCATTGAACGTTGACTTCGTTCGGAAGTCCCCATCTTTGGAAGAGAAAAAAAAAGAAGCTTCGTACCATTGTAATCTTGAATTCGATCCATTGAATTAATTCAAACGCTGTTGAAGCCAACAAGAAATGTTCTTCCCGTGAGCACGCATAGTAAGAAACTCATAAATTCTCGGCTTTCCTGGGTATCGGGTCGACCGATCTGTTTTGATTTACGATTGCACCACTCTTCTCTATTCTCAACAAAATGGAACATGGGCTCAAAGGAAGTGGTTCCCATTCGAAAATGGAACAGAAATTCATTAACACTGTCAAGGACTTCGAATAAATAAGTTTAAAAGTTTTCAGGTGGACCGCGAGGCGAAAAACGACAACGTACAGCTTACACTCGGAACCAAGTTCTTGAACTGGAAAAGGTTTTCATTTTATCCTTTTCCGTACTTTGCGAGTTTCAACTTTCATTCAACTAACCCACTTGTGATAAAAAAGTTTAGGAATTCCATTTCAACAAATATTTGACGCGCAAGCGGAGGATCGAAGTCGCCCACGCCTTGATGCTCACAGAAAGACAGGTTTTTGTTGCCAAATTATTTATCAACTTTTCTCTTTTTGGAACTTTAACTTCGAAAGAAAAAAACCTAATTGAATTGAGAACTTGAAAAATTAGGAAGCTTCAGTATATCTAAGCGAACTTGCAAATTTGTTTTGATAGAAGATAATCTGAGAAAATTTTTCAGGTGAAGATTTGGTTCCAAAATCGGCGGATGAAGCATAAAAAAGAAAATAAGGTTTGTCATTTATGTTCTTTTATTAATGCGATGATATATTTTTAAAAAGAATCGAACGTCCGTCTTGTAGAGCTTTTTCATTGGGTTCGCATCTGCCGCAGTTCGAAAGAAATGACAAAAAAACAGAAAAAAATAATATTAAAAAAAGAAAAGAAGCTGAATCTATAGCTTTATGAACTAGATAATCGGGACTGCATTTAGGAAGTCCAAAATGTGTAATAATCTCAAATATATTCTTTTTTCTGATTTCAATCATGTTTTTCGAAACTGTTCATTGGCTGTCGCAATGGAAAGTAATAGACTGTTTCGTTTGAAAGATTGCCTTGCACGACAATTGAAACATCTATTTGACTGTCACAAAAACGTCAACGAGCCGGCGCACATGTTGCCATTTCGGAGCCTCGAGCCGTGGCAAGTCTGTGGCGGTGGAATGTCGTCTGATGGACAGTCTCCTTTTTTTGAATCCATCAGACAATTATGCAAAAAAATTAGTATTCTCCAAGTTTTTCACGAACCTTTCTCCGAAAGCTTTTATTTTCTAAGAATACCGATACGAATTATTTGAATTACAAAAGCTTGACATTTTTGGGTTAGTGTTTTTGAACGAAGATACCGGAGTAATGATGGAACATTCTGAAACACAAAGAAACTTTAAAGATTTTACGGCTTTCAAAAAACATGATTTACGACCAAGAACCGGTTTTCAGTTCGAGGATAAGCCGTTGACGCCACAGATGATGTCATTCGGAGCGAATCCTCTGCAGTTCGCCTCCTTCAGATTCCCGTTGTTCAACCAGTTCGGTGGCTGCTGATCGGCCTCTTCGACAAGGAGCCGAACCCTGGATTCAGCGAGAAGGAAGAATAGCATTCAAGCTTCTGATTCTTCGTCACTATTTTTTTTTATCTTTCCTGACTGTCGCTTTACATTTGCACATCTTCAAGCATTCCTCTCACCAGCTTTACTCACTTTTCATACCTTCTTGGTATAGTTTTCGCGTTTTATCTGTCTCTATCGTATCCTTCCATTTCAAGCTGAGAACTTTTCCATCTTTTCATAGAGTTTTAATTTTTGCGAGACTCAGTTATCTTCCTACGTTGAAGCCGGATTCATTAACCATTTTTCTATTAGAAACTTTGTGGTAGTGAAAAGATATGATCACCAGAATTCTCTCGGTCTCTTCCCACTCGGCGAGCTACAGTATTTTGACCGTCTTTTTTTTCCAGAATTCTAGAAATTCTCGGTTTAGTCGACCAGGGTCTTTTTTTTAAATCGCTTTTCCAACTTTTTTTTTTTGATTTTCAACTTTCCTTTTTGTCGTTTCGACCACAGCTCAACACAAGGTAGTTCGAACGGAATAACGACTTTTCCAGCAAATACACACGGTACGAATGTGATCTTCAGCGCTTTTTCTCCAACTTTCCGGCCCTTTTCCACTTTGTTAAATATAAATATTCACTACTTTCCTTTCTGAATATTCCAAATGTAATAAAAATAATTCTTCTTCTGTTCTGTAAAGTAATCAAAACAACAGGACGAGAAATATTCTGAAAAAACGAGTATGAAGCGGGTTTTTGCCTGGAAAATCTTCACTTTGAGAGGACAGTTGCGGATCTTGGTCCATGTCACTCCAAGTTACACGCATGAAATCACACATATATACTTTCAAAAAAATTTCAATCGTGTAATATTGAAAATTGGAAGCCCTTCTAAAAAGTGGAATATCCTCATTGAAAGAAAATCAATTTCCAGGCTTACGCACTACAGAAAAAATCATCCAAGTATATATATATATTTACTCACTGTTTGAAATAAAATCAAAAGTCGTTGTAAAAACTGGAGTATATGATTTTTTCGTTGTTATTGAAGAAATCAGTTTGTATTTGCCTTCATCGGTTTCACTTGTCTTAGATATTCATGGCGCAGTGAAAACCGAACGGAGTGATATAAAACAATGGTCGTTTAACGTGGAGTTCTAGCCCCTCAAGTGCTTTCTCAGGGTTATATAGAAGACGAAAATCTAATGAAAAGTGTTCCATTCGCCCTAACATGGTTGAAGTTGTAACTTCTGGCCTCATCGTTCGAATTCACATATCGGGTTTTTTTTTTGAAAATATTGATATATTTGCACTGAAAAACCGCACTTCTTTATAAGTTTTCTTTATCCATACAATTTAACTTCGCCTTTCGCAAAGAGAAAAAATGTTCTCATCAAAAACTCGGGAATAAAAATAAGATAATCAGATCAGCAGTCACAAAGTCACTCTAAAAAGGGCCAATCCTTGAAGACAGATAGTTGGAAAGAACTCCACGACAACTTGTCACTCTTCCACAAATGAAGCGGTGTTTTTGTGTTGAAGACAACGCGCTCCATCGATTGATTACCGTACTGGAAGGCGTTGATTCGCCGCCGTCGCCGAGGGGCGGAGAATGGACGCCATTGCCTCGGGTCTTCTCCACCGATGACTTCTTTGGGCTTTCTATTCCGAGTCTCTATTTCCTAACTTATTATCAACCCCAATCGACAAAATCTCAGGTTAACCGAAGATGTGATCCTTGACACCGATTTCCAAATTGAAAGATCACAAATTGTTTTCATCTGTTTTCTTTCATATTTAAAAAAAAAAGTTTTTTTCTTTACAAATTGATTACCATTTTCTCGTGGCTCAGCTGTTGTTATTATCAGAACTCTTTACACCAAAACGTCAGTTTTATCTCGCTTTTCGTTTGTTTCTACATGGAAAAACGACTGCACATTACTATCGGAAGTAGGTAAAAGAGAATCAACCTTTCGTTTTTGATGAAGAATAAGCACCATCCAAGAAATAAGTCTTAACTATTTCATAATACGTCCAATTGTTCAAAAAAAATTTCTTCGAATTTCTCTGAAACCTGGAGAAAAGTTTCGGTGCTTCCGATGTGGGACCAGGTGAATGGAAAAAAAGAAAGGCTCGGCTTAAATAAAGTCATTACTGACTTCAGTGGCGTGTATGGAACAGTTCCATCCAGCTTGCCAGAGAATTGAGCCCAAAGAGAACGTTTTTCCTTTTCCTGCTTTTCAAAAGAGGCAAAGAAGCTTTATTGAAGGTACTTTGTAGACAGAAATACCGGAAAATTTGTTAGTTTCTCCAAGGAGAAATATTTTAAAGCTTCTTTTTATTTAGATCTTCGAAATGTTTTTTTTCTTTCCCGACCTCTTATGCTTCTTTGTTTTTGCGTCATTGTGTCCTTTTCTTGGAAATTAAAAATATTTCTCCATTTAAAAAAGAAGTCGTCACACGAGGCCCCTCGAAAACTACTTTCGAATTTCCAGTGGAATCTGGAATACCTGAAAGAAGACGAAAGATTCATCCCAAAATAATCCTGAAAATTTTCTAAATTTATTTTTTCGGAGTAGGAGGGGGTGCACCGTAGCGCAACAGGTTGTGTGCCTGTCTACGGTCCACAGGGTCACGAGTTCAATCACAAGTTCAACAAGGACGGATATGTCACTCGAGCCAGTCCACTGATATTAGGATAGGACCTCGGCTATTCGACTTGGGGCGCCGGCGCCGCTCAAGCGGTACGAAGGCGTAGGAAGAACAAGAAGATTTTTCGGAGTAATAATTAATTAGTATTTCTAGTCGGAAGTCAGTATATGAATATAGAAATAATTGATTTCGGCATTTTTTTCATCTCGTTCGAAGAGTTTCCTTGTTTTAAAAGTCATAACAATTTTCGAACTTTTTTTAAATGATGACTCAGTTTCGCTGCCCAGCCTCTTGCCGAAGAGGACAATTACAACGAATTTGAAATAAATAAAAGGTCTCATTTTAATAAAAAATATTTCAGCCCCTGGAAAAAAAAGAAAAAAAAAACTTTATACTACTTTGGAAAGTAAAACTAAAAATTATCTTCAAAACCCTCTAAATTGAAAAAAAAAGAAAACATTATCTTTTTTCTTCTTTCAGTTTTTCAATTCAGAAATAATAGACCGGGACCATACCAAACCTTTCAGAACGATATACTGCGCCCCAGGATCTTTGGTCTTCTATATTTTCATACTTGATTTTTTTTTCCAAAAGAAATTGGCTGTGTGGACAGTGTTCGGAAAGCGGCTGTGTTTCTGTTTACAAGGGAGTAATATATCAGAAGACGGAATTTACAACGTGAAGCACGTGTCTCGCCTAGCTGAAATATGGCCGAGCCGTGTCACTCGGCGGATTTATGAAATGCGCTTCTCGCCAGCACCTGACAGCGTCTCGGTCGATTGATAGCCGCTTCTAGCCCACGGTTCGTCAGCGTCCGAGTGAAACTATCGTTTGTCACAAGAGAAAGTTTACCGAACATTTGAGAACTTACAGTTTCAGATTTGGAAAAAGTACGAAACAAGTCTTTTTTTTCTCTTTTTTTGGACAAAATATCTCACAATCTTCAAAAGAAAGATAGTTCTGAACTTTGTTGAACATATTTCGATTTAGGTTGAGAACTAATAATCTAAAACTTTTTTCTCAGAAATATTACCGTATCCTTTCGAAGGAAATTTATCGACAGAGCAAATCTGCGCTGCGCCGGCCTCTCCTCACTCGATTTACAACCGTTTCAACGAGGCGACACTGCTACGTCTCCAGAGGCCACCGGCTGAAGAAAATTTGACACGGAAGATTTGCTGACAAAAAAAACATCAACGGATGTCATTTCGAGCAGAGGCTCCATATGTGGTTCCCAATCGACTTCGGAAAAAAAAAACAACAGAAGTTCCTTATTTTCAAATAAATTTTGGACGGTCTTCGATGAACTTTAAAGAGTGACTCACTGTTGAAACTGACTCTTCTAGTAAATAAACTTTGTGCTGCCTTGCCGGCATGCCCACGTACTAGATGGAAACAAACTCGTCCAGAAAACAAAAGATTTAGTTAGAGAAACAAGGAGAGAGGCGAGAAAATGATGGGAATCTCGACGCCCAGCCAGATGATATCTCGTCTCCTATCATTTGCACGTCGATGATGAATGTGTGGTCGTAAAAATCATCCGGAAGGGCGGCAAAATGTTTATCGAGGTCCACCTTACTATGGAGAGATGGATGCATGCCAAATTCACATCGGGGAGACAAAATACAGGAATTTCACAGGGTTGCACTGAATAACGTTAGTCTTTACAGAGTAGCCATACGGCATTTACAAGAACTTAAAAAAGTTATATCACAGTTTGGTTTCAAGACATATGATTCAAAAAGGAACTTACAGAAAAACTGAGAAAATTCGATTCCTGAGTAGCAATATTCACAAGAAGGATCATTATAAAGGTAGTTAGATAATTAATATTAAACAAAATTCACGAGAAAGTTTTTGAAGATGAATTGCTGTCAACGGATGCGGAAAGAGTCTTCTTGTTCTTTGAAAACTTCGGAACGTTCCCTCAAATGACAATTTTACAGTCACTTCTAGCCTCACAATTTCTCGCGAGCTACTTTTTTCTGCCCTTTCCGATGTAATTCAGCAAAACTATCGGAATATGTCCCTTTTCCAGATGACCATTTCAAGTTTAAAACATGTCACCAACTTTTTCTGTTTAAAGTTTTCGTTCAAACAATGCTTTGAAAAACCAATGCAAACTAACCACGGAACGACAAACTGAAGTTCCTTGCACCGAAGAGCCCAGGAAGCTTTGATCACCGTCCATCTGGAACAGGCGAATGAAAAGAAATAAAAGCGAAAGTTCGGACTTGTCTGTAGCAATAGCCTTGGCCGTCGTCGGGTAGGTTTCTTTGGGAGCCGTGGCTACAACTAGCTGCGTTTCATTTGCTGAAAAACTAAGGTTTGAGATAAGAGGTTCGTTCAAAAGTTCTATAGGATAAGTGCCCCGCCGAGCCTTCAGAGTCTGGTGAAAATCAATTTCTTCATTATGAAATTAGGGGTTGATGTGTTCTTATTCATACACTTGTGTTATAGTGTTCTTGACAGAAAAAAAAAACTTTTTTGAGATATAAAAAGTAAGATATAAGATATTCTATCAACGAGAAAATAAAGACATTTCGCATTCAAGGGACTTCGTCAACCTTTTTTCAATCATCGAAAAGCTCTCCGTTTCCAGTCTTTCAGGCAACGACTCTCCTACTTATGCTATCAACTAACTTGGATTTTTCACGATGATCGCGCCGAATCCAGCCAAAACTTCTTCGCATTGACGACGAATCTTTTCCGACGTCCCCTACGATCACTAACAAATAACTTCATTTTCACCGTTTTGACAATCAGAGAATTCCGAAGCTTTTTCTTTTTGATTTTGTGGAATTTTCTCGCTTTATCATTATTTAATGAAGAGGTTAGGAGAAAAAGTACTTAGAATATTTGTGTGAACGTTAAACATTTTTTTGATAGGAATTGGAAAAAAAGTCCAATATGTTTCGTTCTAGTTGAGCTGAAAAAACCATTTTTGTGAAATTTGACTCCAAACCAATTTTTTTTTTTTTTCCTAGAAAATTTATTGGAGACTACTCATATTTACTTCTCAGAAAGTCGGCTTATTTATAATTTAATCGTTTTCGAAGAGTGTCCTTTTCTTATAAGTGCAGTTAGAGAACACATATTTTTTGAGTAACAATTGATTAAAATAACGGAAAGAGTGCGAGTTGAAAGAAATAAACAGAAAACAAACTACGACGTACGATTCCAATATTCCAAACGAATCGGATACCTGCAGAACAGCAATTTGCACTCCCCGAAGGTTTACATCGCTAACGACATTCTTTGGCTTCACCGGCGACACTGGAAAATCATTTTGGCGGCAAAAACTTCGACAGAACTAACAATGTTCGGCCTCAATGGCTTTTCGCGTGAGACGCGCCTTTTTCCGAGGACTTTCCTCTTCTTTTTCTTCATCTTTTTTATCGACATCATTCAGGCGAAAATCGCTCACTTTCTGAAAAATGAAAACCTGCGTCAGACAAGACAACGCTCCTTACCGACTCATACTCGCGAAAATCTTGGATTGTATTGATTTCATCAAGAGATTTGTCGTCGCGGATCCTCGTCATGGCGGCGTCGACCAACTTTCCGTTGCGGACACCGTTGGAACGAATCGTGATAACCTGTGAAACACGCCGATTATCTGTTTTTTCGGATCAACCTGGACCAAGTCATGAGGCATCATGAGCGTTATTTACTAGAATGAGAAATGTACCGGCCACTTCTCCGGATCGACGTATCCACCCCTGCCGACAGGAACTTTGAACGGCTTGAAGCCTCGCGCTGTTCGAAGTTCCTCCGGAGGATCCGGCGTCAACTCGCCACAGCTGAAGATGATCATCTCGCGCTCCTCGTCGCGCAGGCCGTTCGACACTCCCAAACACATTGTGAACCGATTTTTCGCGTCTAAAAAACTCAAGCTCGTTCGCAAAACGCTGAAAAATTGAACTTCCATGAAAGATTTAGTCCTTTTTTTCGTACTCATCCTATTTTTCCGAGTGAAAAATAAAAATCAAGAACAACCAATGAATGATCTGTTTTCTAGCTTGAATGTAAAAATATTGTTCTGCAAGTTGAAGACCTATGGTCACTAGAAATCCATTTAGGGACCCCCTCGTTTCATAGATAAAAAGTTATTAAAAAGGTCTGAGTTTCCACTGAAGTTAAGAAACAGAATCAAAAAAACCAAGAACCTTGGTCCCTGGCGGCGAATCGGAAGAGAGGCCGGCCGTAGAGTCCTTCGCCAGGATGGATAGAGACAAGGGCCAAGTCGAGGTCGCAGTCTTCAGAGGCCGACGGCTTCAACTTGAACCAGCCATTAGAAATATTCCTATAAAACATCTTTTTTTGCTTTTTGAAATAACGCAAGATATGAATAACTTCTCAGCCTGTATTAATTCCGAACTTTTTAGTTTTAAAGGTGGTTTATATGAAAAAGTTGAGCTTCTAACTGAATTTTGAGGTTTTATCATCTTTAGGGTGTCGCATGAAAAAGGACTTGTTACAAACTAGAAATTTTTTGCGATCAAGATATGCATGAAATCAAATGCTTTTCAAAACCAATATATCGAACCTTTCGCCTTTTTTGTACAGACTATCGCGACGTTTGACGACGATACCTTCTTCGTTGTCGTGCATAGCCTTCTGGAAGAAGTCCATGATATCTTTTCTGAACAAATCTTGAGTTCAACAGACTGAGTTTTGTTGGATGAAAACGACAAGAAAAAACGAAAACTCACTTAGATTCGCCTTCCACATTTTCTGCGATAAATATCGAGTCAGCTCGTTGTCTTTTCAGAACGGCCACGTTCAGCATCTCGATTCTGAACTATTATGATGAAAATAGCGCTATCGGAACAGAGAAAACCGCTGATCCAAAGGAGCCGCAAAAAGAGGAGTGCCGTTGTAGTAAAGAAGGTCAAATATAACACAGGCTAAATTAATTATTAATAATTCAAACATGCTAAAGGTAGTAACAAACTTCGTTCAAAAGAATTTTTAAAAAAATATTGATAACAGAAACTGTACGTCTTTAAAACCGCTATCTCAAGTTCAAAAGAAAGCAGATTAGACGCTTGGCTCTTTCGAAAATTAAAAAACACTTTTCGCTCACGGTGGCTTATTTTCGAATCACCAGTTAAACTTGACTGAGTTCAAAAACGGTCAATTATTTTTTTTTATTTTCCTGTTTTAATTTTCGGTCCATAAAGATATATAACTCAGAAATTTGAGCCTCTTCACTAGATCGAGTTTTCAGCTTTTGACATCTGAGCCCTCAGATATACAGTCCCCAAAAAGAAAGAAAATCGAGAAGTCTGAAAAAAAGACCAGAAAAAAAGTAAAAAAGTGAATAATTTTTTTGTAAAAAAATTAAATTTTTTTCGCTGCTTTTTCTGTAATCATCCGTTTGAAAAAAACAGAAGGTAACATTAAAAAAACTAGATGAACTGAAATGATTTGATTCGAATTTCATCCTGGTTGCCTCTTGATGAATTTTAATTGAAAGAAGGAATTTAGTTTCATGTTTCACTAAGTTTTTACTGCCGGGTCTTTAGCCTACTTATAGATCTGCTAGCGGTCTTTGTAACTTCTGACCTGCCTTTTTGGGAAATTCCTGAAAGACTCACTGAGCTGTTGGTTATCTGACTTCTTGATGTGACGGAAAGAAACGATCGAATTATCGGAAGTTTTGGAAGCATCGTTGTGTCTGCCTGTGATGGAAGCTCAACGAACTCCAAAAAAAAAGCAACAAACACAAATTTTTGTTGACTTTGTCCCAGAGCATGATTTCGCAGTTGAAAATGGCCGACTTAAGGTCGTCGGCGAAAAAAGGATGGATCCGTTGGGCGAGAGTGTCGCTCGCCGTCGACCTATTCCCGTATTCCTGTCAATCCTTTTCTTCTGACTTCTCCGCAAGAGTTTCCTACCCTCGAAAAGTCCTTGCCGTTGCGCGAGAACCACCTGTACTCGCCCCCGCGCTTGTGCAGAAGCACGTTTTCTCCGTCAAACTTGGTTTGCATGAAGAACTTCGCTCCACCGTACTTCTCGATCTGAACAGTTTGGTGAAGATTGAGAGTCCCCAGAAACGCATGTCACTTGCGAAGATGATGAGGTCTAACATACAAATCACACTGAAATTGGCATCAATAAATATGTATATATATATACAATACTGGCCATAAAGGTATTTCAAAGTGGTTATCCGAGCATAACCTCTCTGAAAGTGGCTCAAATGACTTGAAACTTCGCACAGATTTCAAATAGCTACGCAGTAACTCTTTCCCGGAAGAAGAACACATTTGCTCGAGTCAGGCCGGATTTGAGAGCAAAAAACCAAAAATCGTGAAAATGAATATTTTTCTCTTGAGATTCGAAAAATCATATCTTCAAAGAGCGTAGTGACTTTTTCTTCGGAAGGCCTTCGCGTTTTGAAGCCCCGTCATTCAAATGGACTATACGAGGTCAAGAATAGTTTTACACTGTTTGCTTCAGCTTTCTCACTTTTTCCTCTCTCCAGAACTCGCTTACTTCACTAGGCCTGATTTTGAAACCTCTGATTCGAACAGGTTTTCTGAACTTCCGGGGATTCAAAACAGTTTTTATCTGAAAAATTGCTTTTCAATCGTGAATTCAAAAACAACAGATGACTGAATTGCAGTCTCCTACTTCCTGAAGACTGCTAATTTTTTTGCTGAAGCATTACCAAAAAAACTTGATTTTCTCATAAAATTTAAAGAAACTTTTTCACAGTGCCTATCTTCAAGAGAGCTAGAAAGAGGAGTTACAAATTTATCTCATGATCTAAAACATTTGAAAATATGAAAAAAGGGGTTTTTTTTAAATCATTTTTTACAAGATTTGGAGCCTTCTAACTAGGGAACTACTCGGACTCGGGTACGCGTTTCGAGTTGAAACTTTGGTGGCTTATAGACCTGGGTAAGAGTACTTGGAAACGAGAGAGATTATCTGCTAAACTCCATAGGCTTCTGAGAAAAAGCTTTTTGAAAATGAACATTTTAGGCTTGAAAATTATCAAATTATTGCTTTCCTCCTTCTTTTGGCTGAAAAAAGTTTTTTAGAGTTCATCATAGCCGCATCATTCGAAGCGATTGTATTAAAATATAAGATAAGGTAAAAATCAGTATTCTGAAAATTTTCAGACCTAATTTTTACATTTTTTACTAATTTTTTCCCAGTTCTCTATTGGGTTTAGCAGATATTCTCACTTGTTTTCAAGTAATCTCACTTAGGTCTACAAACCATTAAAGTTTGAACTCGATCCGCGTACCCGAGTCCGAGTAGTTCCCTAGTAAGCAGCACTGGCTGAAACGAAGTTTTGAGAACTTTAAGAAACTCATTATAACTCACTATATCAATTTACGAGTGTAACGAGAAAGAAAAAAAAATATATATATATATATGTTAGCAACAAAATGATTTTTTTATTTTTGAAGATTCTAGGCTTGTAGTGAAACAAAATTGTGAGGCTTACATTTTCATACCAATTTCCGCGTTTCTGACGGCTGAGGAGCATCGGCTTCCACATTACAAAAAGATGTTCATCGTTCTCGGGAGATTCTTCTGCAACTTGGAATGAGTTTCCGGCGTGAACTTCGGAGCTACTGCTGACAGATGAAGACTCGACACTCTGCGTCTCGGATGACTTGAAACTGAGAACTTCTTGAAGATTAAGTGTAGAAACCCATTTATTTCGTGCATCCGGTGATATCCAGTCCAAGACGTTGTTCATAGAAACCCCCAGGGCCGACTGAAGGAATGCATCTCTCAGCGAAGAGGATGAAAAAATGCGCGAACAAACAGTAAGAATGCGTTCCACTGGTAAGTAAAAAGTCCATAATTTTTTAGAATTTGTACACGGCTAGTTATTTACTGGATCAACGATACAGAGTGATTTGAAACTTTTCCGAAAGTTATTCGCAAATTTTTTCAATATACTGTAATCTTAATAATTTGCGTTAAGTCTTCGCAAAACTAGCAAAACAGGTGAAATAAATTAATCTTTATAAAATTGAACCTAGTGTGGTGAATATTCCATCATCTTGAATGCGGGCACAACGTTCTTGAGCCAATTAATTTTATTGTAGCCAGTCAAAACCGGAAGATATTTAATCCAAATTGCTACCAATTTTTTTTTCTAAAAAACTACAGAAACTGCGTTTTAACTTCGGCAAAACTTTTAATTTTTGAATAATGGATTTTGGACCTTTTCGAATTATTTTTTTCTCATTCTAAAAACCGACAAAAGCTGATAAGAAAAGTAACGCGCTCGCCACAGCCTTTCAAGCTACGGGATATTTTACTTTATGTCTTCTACTCTGAGTTTTTCTTTTTTTTTTCGCGTTCAAAATCTCTTTCGCAGTGATACCTCTGTGTTCTTCATTATTATATTGAAAATCCACTCGAGTTCGTCTTCTGAACAGCTTCTGACCAGCTTCTCCATGGTTTTCAATTCTACAACTGCTTTTTTCCTCTCCGAAATTCGGGTAAATAAACGACTTCTGTTGGTTTCGTTGGCTTCCTCGGAAGTGAGGAGGTCGAGAAGTTGGTTGACTTCTCTGACTGTGAGGACCTCGCTTGCGTCGTCTTCACTTCTATTCTCGCTGACAGTTTCTGCCAGAATCCTCGCCGCATCAGATGCCGTGCTCTAGAAATATTTGTTTTTCTTCAGGGAAGAAGAAAAAACCTTTGAAAGAGTACGCAGGTAGTCTTTTCTGTCATCTAGAAAGACTTTTGCCAGAAATGAAGCCAATTTTTTCTGCAATTCGGTAGGTTTTTGTATAAATGAGGCGGTATGAGTGAGATACGGCTATCAACTTTTTCTTTTTTCCAGCAGTTTGATTACTTCGAAATTAAAACTCCTACTTTTTATTTTATACTCCTGTGTTTGAACTGCTACATAAAATCTCAATGAATCAAAAAAAAAACCAAATTGATATAGTCTGCGTGCCACAACTGGAAATTTCACGGAACGAAATTCCGCTGCTCCGCTGCGCGCCTTTGCGAACCTTGGTCGCGCTTTTTAATTTTCCTTTATCAAGGTACTCTAATTTCATGTTTTTCCCACAGCAATAACAATCAATAGGAAGCGTGACCTAGATTCGGAATACGCTTCGCAAACACACGCAGCGGAACAGCGGAATGTCGTTCGGTGAAATTTCAAGTCGTGGCACGAATACTGCGATTAAAAAGCGATTTTCAGAAATTCTATAAGTTTACTTCACTCATCTCCGCCTTTTTTTTTGTATTACAGTCCCAGTTTTAAAGGGAAAAAACCTCTTTCATGTCGAATTGACGTTTATCGGCAGTGGGAAGAAAAAGACGCACAACACAAAATATATTGACATCTTCTCCTAAAACATTTATGAATTGAAAAAAAACCCGAGAAGGTTGGCTTCACCTTTTTCAAATTTTTTCAAATTTTCTAAAATTCTTCAAAACTGTCTCTTTTAATGATTTTTCTTTCACTACCAATACCTTTTTTTTTTAAATTTTTGAAACGGCTTTCTCTCACATTTATAAGTAAATTTTTTTCTTTTCAAACAACCATTTTGGGTAAAGCATTCACTCGAAGCGTAGGTCTCAATCCTGGGCTACAATTTTCTTGACCAAACTTGGAAATTTTCAAAAAATAATAGGCAATCCTACCTGCTACTTTCTTCCACTCTTTCAAAGCTCGATTAAACATGGCTCCTTTGGTCTTTGCGTTGGACGCCCGCCGGATCTTGTTGAAAGCCTCGGCGACGTTGTGAAAGAGCACGGCATCGTCCATGCCTCCTAGAAACACTTTATTACATCGTGAAACACTGTACAAGCGAAATAATACGGAACGACAGATAGATATGTAGAATAGAGAAAAAAGGAGAAATTATGCAGTGGAAGGAGGGGGCTTGTCGTCGTTGTGCTCCTTGCGCTTCTCGACGTGACCTCGACAATGGCCTGTTTCGCAGTCAGAGTCAGAGTCCGAACTGCTGTCCTGCCAGCTCTTCGGCTTTTTGTAGATGCAACAGCACTTGCTCTTCTTCTTGCCCATTCCCTCGTTGTCCACCGTGTCTGTCGACCACACAATGTGCCGCCTTTCCGCTGAAGAAGAATGCCCTCCCAGTCGTAAGACTAACTCTTCAGGTTGTTCTGAGCTGTTCACTACTGTCGTCGAGGTTGCAGTTCCGTGCGCTTGATTTGACATTTCGCAATAATCTGTAAGAAAAAAACACTAATAAATATTGTCAAAAAAAAAAACTCGAAAAAAATTAATGGCTTAAATAATTTTTAAAGCCTATTGAACGAACTCACACAATTCAGCAATCATCGAAAAAAAAAAACATAGACTCTAAATATTAAAAAAAAAACAATCAATGAAAAAGTTTTTGATAAAAATAAGGCTTCGTAAATAGTAATGGCGAACCGCGCTCCATAGCCAAATCAAATTACTGTATTAAGCAATAGTGTGCATGAGTGTACGAGCGGTATTGGCGAAGTGCCATGAAGTGTATTAAAGTAGCATTTACGGAGGAAAGGACAGTTAATGGCGTGTTCATCGGGCAAAACGAAAATTGCTTTGAAACGCAAGAAAGTTGCTCCAAAACAAAAATTAGTACTGTTTTGGAGCAACTTTGGCGCGCCGATGCGAACACGATTTTTCGTTTTGAAGCATGTTCCGTTTCTCCGAAGAACACGCCATAAACTTTGAAATGCAAAATGTACGAACAGTTCAGACCGCTTTGATAAGGTCGATTAAATATTCTTTGTCTCTTTTCACCATTAATTTTTGTCGCGTTTAATGAAAAGATGAAGCTTATTTCAAATAGTTTTTTTTTGTTCTGCACAATTTTGTCTTTCACTTTTTTTTCTTTGTACTTTTTTTGATTTTTACAGGTCTTGATATATATTGCCTCAACCCAGAGGTATTTTGAATGTTACATGGAACTTTATGTCGTGTTCGAAGTGATTCGGCGAAGTGCAAAATATTTGTCAGAGAAAAAAAAAGATATATAAATCTTGAAGAGTCACAGATAGTTTTGCATTTTGCGGAAATCACTTTGAAAACGAAACTAATAAGTGATACTCTGTAAACAGTTAAGCTTTTTTGTGTCATGTTTTGATTTGAAAAACGAAATGTTTTTGTAGGAAAAATTCAACAATTTCACAAAATTATATTTTTTGAGTCTGAAAACTGAAATATTGTTCGAAAGTTGATCTCGATTTTTCTTTTTCTGCTAAATCGCATTACTTTTTCGAAATATATCCGTCTTCATTTGATCTTCTTTTGAGAACGTAAATTTAATTGAATAGTTTTTTTTACAGTAATGCCGGCCGAAGTTGAAGTTCCACCAACTACGTACCAGCGTCTCCAAAAATACCAGGTCAGCGAAGTTTACTTTTTCCTTTTTTTCAACTTTACGGAAAAGTTTTGTTACTTTGATCGTTTTTGTAATTTCTCGCATTTTCGAAATCGCTTAGAGAACGTGTTTTCGGTTACTGGTAATTTAAATACAGAAGTTAAGCTACGCAAGACTTTTTTTGATAGTTTTGATGTTTTATTTGAAAAAATATCTTTGTGGTCCACATTCAAACTCATGAAGTTAATTTTGAACAGTCAAAATTTCAATTATTTTCACTATATTTTCTGGTCGGCGTAAATGCTACCGGATACAAATCTTCCTGCTCTCATTTGTTGTTGTTATGTGATACTTAAGCTGAGAAGGAGCAAGAAGAGGCTGTGACTGTTTTAATTTGAAAAAAATCGTTTTTCTTTGTGATTTGACTCATTTTATTTTTTTGAGTTTGTGACAAACTTCTTCAAAAGGCCTCGAGTTTAACAGTGTTCAACAAAAAATTGACGCACTGTCAAACATGTGAAATCTCCGGAAATTCAATGAAATTTTTTTTGAATTTATCAATGAAATTTGTTGAAAACAGTTGAATAAAACAAATTTCAGTTTCTGAAGATTTTATGTTTGACAACACGTTGATTTTTCACAATGAAACGTTATCCGTTCTGTGAAAAAATATCTAATTTTTAAAATCACGTTTTTCATAATATTTCCGTGTGTTTCCTTTTCACTGGTCAATCGGCGATTGCACAGATTAGAAACAAAAGGGCACCCTTGAAGCGTCAAGTGCTTTTTAATGATCATAAAAGCGCTTCAGCACAGGGTTAAATTTCTGGTATTTCCATACTATTTTTGTTCAAACGTGTATTATCGCAGTGCTACTCTGGTTTTCTAGTGCAGCTTAATTTTTAAAATTTTGCTGTCGGTGTGCACATTTCTTACAACCCTGCCGATTGAAATTCGATTTCCTTTTTTAACTTCTAATGATTTTTGAGAACAGTGAAGAAAGCAGTAGCTTTTTCTCCTAGAAAAAAAAAATTGATGTTGGAAAAAAATTCAGTAGTTTTAAATCTGAATCTTATTTGTGATATTCTGCGAAATACTCTCGAAAAAAAAACATCCGCAGATGTCTTCTTGCCATAAATCATTTTTCTGATGGAAAAAGCCTTCAAAAAAGAAATTTTACATTTATATCCGATTTCATCGTTTTTGAGAAAGTGTCAGTATGAAATAAGAACAATTTCATCTATGCTGAAGTCTTTCTTTCTAGTGATTGTCTTCTAGAATCGTAGGAAAGAATAATTAACTTTTGAAACGCTAGGCGCAAGCAAAAATTAGATCGTTTTCTTGCAGCAATTACTGAATACCTGTGATTTTTTTTGAAGATTTTTTCATTCACCAGTTCAATTTTCGGTTCAGGAGCAGTTTTCGAATGCTCTCCGCCACCCCGACTCTCCTGATTGGTACAAAAAGGAGGTACATGAGAAAGTGAAGAAAGAGCTTCTCTGGGCTTCTCCCTACGATGCGCGTTTCCCACAAGTTAGTTTATTCACATAAACATGATGGATTGTTTTTTGTTTACAGTCTTCAGGTTCTTCTTTTAAATTGATTCATGGAAGGTAGTTGCGGGTGACAGCTCAACTTTTCAGGTTCGCAAGCAACGCCAATGTTTCGCCTACTACGTTGATTTCCATCGCTGCAACGAACTCATGGGTCAAGACTACAAACCTTGCAAGTTCTTCCAGAATGTTTACAAGGTTAGTTTTTCTAAAGATTTCAACTTCGTATTGATTTCTAAAGTTTTATATCTTAGCAATGTGTTGTTTTTCTATTGTTTTTCAATTTCATCCTTTTTGTAAGTTTTAAAAATAATTTGCCAGATGTTTTTGTAATTGTTTTTTTTTTGCTCTTCAAGAAATCTTTCCAAAACTACTTTCAGAGGATAGAATCTAAATGAAATATTGCGAAGTTTATAACTTTCAGGACTTCTGCCCTGGCTTCTGGGTCGAAAGATGGGACGAGCTCCTCTCGGAAGGACGTTTCCCGGCCAAGTTCGATCGCTAAATTTCGAAAGATTCGTTGTCGATGATAGCCTTTAGTAATTATACATTTCGATAAATGTATTTTTATGTGTCAATTTTTTTTCTGATGTAAATTTTTTCATAATGTTTGTGCGTTTCCTCGACGAGGGTATCTAAATGAGATAAAGGAAAGTAGCGAAATTTTGGATAGAACGAGGTTCAGCCTTGAATGGCCGACTCGACGCGAGTGAGCGAAGCGGAGCTCCAACGTCGCGAGTCCTACATACGGGCTCATCGGAGACATCAGAATGTTGCTGATCCTTTCACGTGGACTTATCCCTGGAAGGTTTACTTATAAATATCACTCTCATGGCTCCCCTGAAATCAGCTTTTTTGGCGATCTCTTCTTGATCAAAATACAAATACTGGTGAAGTTTTAAGCGATGATGTCTCTGTAGATGTTTTTTTTAAATGTCAGTAACGCAAACCTAATGCGGACTTTTTTAAGTTGTTTCAAACGTTGACTTAGTGTTATAGTCTGTTCAGATTTTGAATGTCAACCAGCTAACTCCGCCCCTGTTGAGACGGTACTTTTTCGCGTCGATGTTTCATCGCACGGGACTAATTTTGATCTTTTTCGATCTAAAAGATAGAAAAAGAGGTCAAAAAGCAGCCTTATTAAAGGGCCATTGGCACATGTAGATAAAACATTGACGCGAAAGATATTGTAGCCTTGGGGGTGGAGTTAGCTGCTTGACATTCAAAATCTGAACAGACTATATAGTGCGTTCCGCGCGGAAACGGTCACGTTTTAAAAGAACAGAAAAAAAAGCGAAATACAAACTTCAGCTATAAAAAGCTGGCGGAAAGAAAAGCGAGACAAGCTGGCGCGGAATGGGCTATACTGCCATACTTTAGCCTAACAAGGGAGGAGTCGAAACTTATTATTAGAAGAGTCTTTTTTGGATGACGAGAAAAGCTGGTTACTGTTCTCTATTTGAAAACAAATATTCAAAATATGTCTTTCATCCTTCTCTTCTGGCAAAATTGTTTGACTGTAATTCTTTTTTTATGGCGAAGTGCTGAAAAAGTTTTGCAGATTGAAAGTAGTTCAGATTCACAGTCAACTTCAGATTTCTGTAAAACTAATGAGGCATGTAGTGTTTGAATGTTCTGTACGTTAACTATTTGGATTTGAAATTTTCTTCGGAAAGAGAGTGACTAGGAAGGGATAAGAAAAGCTTTTTATGTTTCCAAAACGAGTTTAATAAATGCTACGAAGTTAATTGATAATAGATCTTATTCTAGATTCAGACACAAATCGGGCAGGGGCCAATAATCTATCGAAGGGTCTGAAGCCTCACGATGGTACCACGGTTATACCATGCAAATATATAGAAAAATGCGATAGACTTGCGGTATACTACTCAGCACTAACGGTAGAGCTCCGATTGTGCTGAAGTATATACCGGAGGTATGAAGATGAAAATATTATTATACCATCCTGATTCATTTTGAGGTATATGCTCGGTATACTTTTATTACCTGACCCCGATTCTTCTATTTTTTTGTTCCAACCGGTTTTCATTGAGGATCTTTTTTAGGGAGCCGGAGCGATGTTCGGAATTTCGATGATTGCGGCGCTTCTTCACAACAGGTGGAACAAAAAGCCATACTACTACGGTGAGAATCTAAGACAGTGATCGACGGAAGAGAATCGTTCAAATGGAATCTTCTGAGGTGTTTTTCTATCGGAGCAAGGGAAGTCGTTAAGCTGAGAGCACTCAAAGTGAAAATGTCAAGCGTGTTTTCATCCGATTCAAAAGTCTTGAAATAGCATAGTGAAAATTTACGTTTAGCAGGTTTTTTCGAAAACAAAAAGATTCTAAGCTCTATTTTATTCTCTCAATTGTAGCTACGTGACTCTCTCTTACCCCCCGATGAAGATCCCCTCTGAAGGAGCTCCATTTGTGCGTTCTGGGCCTAGGCCTGAGAGAGCGAGATAAATGTGTGTGCAGCGCTGTATCCGCGATTGGTCCTCGTCGGAGGAGTGACGGCGATCGGCTACGCGATGGGATGTCTGCGTCAGCGACATCACCAAACTCGGGAAGCCGTCATCCAGCACTACACCCAGCTCCATCCCGAGGACTTCGACCACTTCAACGATCGTTCGTTTTTTTTTTCTCGGAACACAATGCGTTTTTTCAAAAACTTTTTTTGATACGCTGAAGGAGGAGCTTGAAAGTCGCAACCTGTAAACGTGTCTAGTTCTTCCATATATTCTCTCTGAACAAGTAGTTTTCCTATCAAGTTTTTTTCTTCAAAAGTTTAATCTTCGATTAAAACTATTCTCTTGTCAGTTGATACGCGCGCTCCTGATAATTATCCTTCAATAGTACTTCGAAAAAAATGTTTCTCGCAGTGCGATTTAAGAAAATGATAAAATTTCTCATGATATTTGTTTTTCCTTTCTTTCAAGTTATTGCACGAGTCCGTTGGAAAAAAATAAATTTAAAAAAACTGATCAAGCTTCTTCATCATTGAAAATTACACTAATAAATGAAAAAAATTTCAGTAATATTATTTTTCCATTGAAAATAAAAAAAGAAAAAAAATCGAAGTTTGCACTTTTTTTCTTAAAGTTTCACCAGGATCATGACTCATGAATGAAGGAAGAAAGGGAACGGTTTGTTCCTTTCATATCAATACTGTTCAAAACCTTCTGCTTCAGGAAATGGTCGCGCTTTCTCGCAAATCATGTTGCCGTGGTACCCGAAGCGAGCTCAATACACCAAGTACGATTGAACCTTCCCCATCATCTGGCGTGTTCCTTTTCTCTGTTTTTCTGTAGAAATTATAGGTTCGGAGATATGTGTTCTCAGTCTTAGATTGTTTTTTATTATCTTACGAGACTGTGTGTATCGATAAACATTCTTTAAAGATCTTCGAGTTTCCTGAATGGAAATAATCCGTTTTTGTTTATTTATTTACTCAACTCATCAGTTCAGGAGACAGAAATTTTTGCAGAGACTAAATATAATGGAAGTTGTTGATGAAGATAAAATCGCGGAACGCCGCGAAAAGTTGATGATGAGGCTTGGCCAGAGAAACGAAAACAAACACAAATCGATCGGTTTGGCTCTCCTTCGGAGCCATTTCATAAGGAAATCTTCCAGCTTCGGAGGCAAAAGCCCACGAATCCGAGGTCGACCGTGTGCTGAGTTCTGTGCAGAGGAACATTTCTGCCGGGATCATTGACGAGAAGGAAATCGCAGTTCTCGGTTCTTTTGATTTTGTTGATTTTGTTCATATTTTGCCCTTCATTTCTTCTTTTCAAAATTGGAAAATTTTTGAATTTAAAATTTTCACTTGGAAGTTACTCTCCTTGGAAGTCCGTCAACTTTCAGAACAAGAAATTTCGATGTCAGAAGGCAGCCGCCGATCGAAAATAATACAAGAAGTGCTTGAAAAAGTCCGACTTTTCCGTGTCGCAAAGCAAAATGAACGACGCGTCGGGTTCTCCTTCAACGTGAATATGATTCAATAAATTTAGACAAGATTTATATGCAGAAAAATAATTCATCAAGAAGAAGCGCCCAGCCGAACAAAGATCCTGAGTTAAAAACGACAGTCTGTGAGATTCCTGAAACGGATCCTGCGGCAACAAACACCAATGTCGTCGAGAACCTGGTCTGTTTCTTCCCTTCCAGTCTGAGCCATTTTTGGAAAGCGGTTTCTCTATGACTCTTAACTTGGAAAAGGTCATAAGCCTTCTTTTCTCGCTTCTTTCAATCGGCTCTCGAGCCTCACCTGTTTTGGAATTTTACTCGTTTAAAGCAATTCCTTCTCGAAGATACGGATAATTGTAAACGTATCAAATTGTTTTTCAGAGTGATTGCCAAAAGCTGTTGGTAGGAAACGATGGTGCGGACGTGGCCCTGAAGAACATCCAAAGATGTCGTTTGGAGTTTTCCTTCAAAGCCTCGGCCATCCACATCCGCGTAAAGTTTTCTGGCTGAGTTCAACTTCTTTTTCTTTTAGAACGTCAAGGACAGCACTCTGATATTCATGCCGTGCGAACGTTCCATCCTGATGCACGACTGCCACAAGTTTTTCCCTTTTTCTTCGCCCAACCATTCATTGCGTTTTAAGTGTCGTTTTGTACGCGGCCGCCCAGCAGATACGAGTCCACACTTCCCAGAAGCTGGAGATGCACGTCGTCGTCCGCGGCGCCGTCGTCTTGGAAGACTGTACCGATTTGAAATTCTCTCCATACAGGTTTCCCACTTTTTTTTGCCTCTCACACGTTTTTTTTCAATACTTTTAAATTTTCTCCTAAAAGGCGGATGCCGAAAAAAGTCTTTTTCATCTAAGATTATTACTCTATGAACTCAAATATGATTTTTTTTTTTCTTTTTCGGTTTTTTTTATGGTTTTGATAAGATTTTCACTCCTTATTTAAATGGCGTTCTTACAGAGTCTTATCGAAAAAAGGTGTTGAAATAGAAGCAGAAGACAACGGTGAATGGCGAAGGCCGCGCGATTTTGACTGGCTCGCCTCTGGCCAAAGTCCACACTGGAGCGTCGTCTCAGAAACTGATTGGTCGACTGAACGCATGCTATTATAGATTTCCTAACATTTTTTTTCGCAATAGCAACCGAGCTACTTTAATGGGAATAATGTAACGAGAGAGGATTGAAAGGAATATCGCAAATCTGGTCCAAACTTGTGTGATAGGGAGTCCTAGTTAAGGGTACTCGAAAGCGAAAAGAATTATCTGATAAGTCGTAGCGTAATGTGAACTCGTCTAAATTGTACAGAAAATAGTGCGTTAGGCGGAAAAATAGTTTAATTCCGAGTACTCCTAGGACTATCTCTCACAAAGGCTTGGACCAGATCTGCAATGTTCGCTCAGACACATCTCTTGTAAGACGGTTTCGTTCTTTCACTGGTTTTGTTTCACAATCTTACTTTGATCTTCTCACTGTCATCGTGTAACTCGATATATTTGATACAAACACAATCATTCGTCTCAAATTTGTTGTTCGTCCGTGTCAATAGGTTTACATGTTTAGACTGAAATCTGGGAATTTTTAATGCCCAAAAAATGCCTGTTTTCATTGCAGCATGCTCGGTTCATATCTTGATCTCAAATTAAATAATGTTTTTCAGATGGCAAACAAAAAAATAACGGGAACAGTGATTCAGAGAACAAGAGAGGAACAAAGTAATTATTAAAATACATTTGAGAAAAAATTCTGAACATACATGGGATGAGGGCGCCCAAACCTTTAAGGTCGAAGAATGGAGAAATTATTAGAGAAGCTATTTCTAGATGCCATATCCCATTTATGACTTCAAGGGAACAAAAAAAACAAAAACAATTATAAATATAACAATGAGATGCGTCGAGAGAAGTTGGTAGCGTAAATAATTCATTTGCTGGAACCGGGGTCGAGAAGTTACCTGTAGCTATGGACCCGGTCACGAAGTTTACTCGATGCCCTCGGCGGCTTCGCGTCGCTGACACGTTTCGCGACGTCGCTTCTCCTGTCGTTCTCGCTCGGCTTCCGGCGGTCATCTTCCGGTTCTCGCCGCTTCAATGAGGACAAGTCTCTGGAACTTGTCGCTTTTCTCAAGTGTTAGCGAAGGTGGCGGCATGATATATATCAAAATCTAACCCGTTCGCTTCCACAGGCCGTTTGGATCCTTTATGGGTTTTAACATTGCTTTCTTCGACGGTGCGCAACACTGCTGGTAGCTGAAAATGAATCCAATTTGTTTAGTCTATTCGAATATATTCTTTTTTAAATTGAAAAGTTCAATTTGTTCACACTCTCCGATCGAAAAGCAGAAGAATGACATCGGAAGAAAACACACATTTTAGCAAACTACTGTTGCAGGAAGTCTTGTGATGTTTTAAAATAACATATTGAAACCAGTCTTCTTTTAAATCAAATTTCCTTGTTCACCTTTTACCAACCGTCAGTCCTCCTGCGCATGAACTTATGGATATACAGTAGCGGAAAACAAGGCAACTAACCGAAGGGCCGTAATGTTTGTCGTCGAGTTTGTCTTTCTCCTTCTCCTGCAGCTTCTCCTGCTTGGCGGCTTTCCTCTCGAGCTTCCTCTCATGTCGTCTTTCGCGGTCGTGCTCCTTCCGTCCTTCGTCCGCCTTCCATTTCGACAAACGTCACAATTTCAAAGGTGAACTCCCACTTTTCGCCGTGATTCCTTGTCCCTGCCCTCCGAACTTTCGCGCTCCTTCTCAGGTCGCGACGTCGTACCTCCACCGTTTGAAGTCTTTGCGGACTTTTCCTTCTGTTCAACTCGTCCTGTGGAGTTTTCCTCACTAAGTACTGCCAGAACTCGCGCCTACAAATTTTCAACTGTGAAATATTTGTCGGGGCTTTCTCAATTACCAGTACTCTCTAGATTTGGAAGACTAGAACGTGTGGAACACAAAAACGTGGTCAAAGTTGTGTATAAAATTTTTCATCATTTCTTAGTTTCTTTTTTTGTAATTTTTAGAATGGATATTCGAATAAGTCATTTCTCAAGTGATTTGCTGGAACCCCACTGTCTAAATTCGAAAAAGCGCGTTTTGATATTTTTAACATGAAAACCAAATGATAGAAATGTGTGAGGTGAGAATCGCAGATACTGTCCGAATTTCTGTGATAGGTAGTCCCAGGTATGAGTATTCGAAAAACAAAAAGATTTATCTGCTAAGCGCCATAGGTTACTGAGAAATAGCCTGTCGAAAATGTACAGGGAAAACTCGAAAACGAATTCTTTCGGTTTTTTTTAATGGAAAATGTTCCTTACTCGTTTTTATTATGGTATACTGAATAACAGACGTTTTAGAAATCGAAAAACCGAAGAAAATCAGTTTTTGAACTTTTTCCGTACACTTTCGACAGGCTAATTCATAGTACTCTATGGCGCTTAGCAGATATTTCTTTTTATTTTAGAGTACTCATAAATCGACTATCTCTCACAGAAGTTTAGACCAGATCTGCGATGTTCACCTCACAAACTTTCCTTGTGATTTAGACTATTTCATTTCAAAAAATGTCCTAAGATAAAACGAACGAAAACATTCTCAGGTTCTATGGAGGAACTTTGAAGAATCATTTTCAAGAACTTTGAGAGAGGCTCTCCTTTTTGAAAATGAACCTTTTTGGAAGGAGGAGGCGACGGCGTTGTTTCGCCTTCTTCTATAGATCCTGCGGGAGTCTTTGTGGTCTTCTCTTTTCGCGGCAATGTCGACTCCTAATTTTCAGATTTTCCGAAAAGGGAGAATATAATTAAGCCTGCACAACAAAAAGCCCCTACAAATTTTTTGATCAAACATTTACTTTTCACTTATTAAAATCCATTTCATATTCATTTGTTGGTTTCCTTTCATCAAACTTTGATTAATAGTATAGATAACCATGGGTTTCATGAAAATTTTGAGAACCACAATAACAACGAATACAATCAGAAGCTGATTCTATAAAATTTAAGCAGCTTTGAAGTTAGGCGTTTAAGCGAAACGGTCACGTGTTTTGAGGACAGTTGTCAAAATATATTACACCTTCTCAGCTCATTCGGATAATGGATAGCCAAAAATATAAAACTTTTTTTATATAATTTTAAACGATCAAAGCATGGAATAAGTTCCCCTCATGACCAAAAAGAAGCTGTTTCTACAAATGAGCCGACAAGTACATAGAAAAAGAAATGACTCACCGACTTGCGTTTCTTCTCAGAACTTTCCCCGTTCGGCTGTTCGTTCCCGTTAGGCGCGACGTGAGTGGAACTGTTGGATTTGGCGGCAGCTGCTGTCGGATTTTCTTGTTTCGCCTTGACTGAAGACGAGGTGGAGCCTTTCGACTTCTTTAGTTTAGCCTCTTCTTTCTCCTTGCGCTGATTTTTCGGCTTCGCTGCGGTCCTGGCCCCTTTAGAGACTCCTTCGTCGTCGGCAGTCGTCTCCTGGCTTGTCTTCTGATCAGAGTTCGTCACTCCGTTTGACGTTTTTTCCACATCGCGGTCATTGGTCGTCGACAAGCCGTCCGCATTTGTCTTTGCACTTTTAACCGTCGTTTTAGTGGAAGCTCTTTTCGGCACTTTCACCTAAAGTTGTTATGTGATGCATTTCGGAAAGCTCAGACAGTTCCAAATGTACTTGTTTAATGTTCTAGTAGACAAAGTACATATGAAATTAAGCGATATGAAAAATTAAATTCGCTATGAACGTTAATATTTTCGGTTTTCGAACGCTCCCTGAAAGCTTATATTAAGATCCCTGACAGTAACTACATGCACACAATTTTATTTCAGAAAGGGGGAGGGGACTTTCAAAGATTTGAGCGAATTTTTTTCTAGAAAAGTTCAAAAAAACATAATAAAATCGCTCACCTTTCAATTTTTTTGAGAAATTCATTTGATATTATCAAAAGCTAAAAAAATTTCGAAAAAAACTGTATCTACCAAAATATGAAAAAAACAAGGCGAACCTTACGATTGAACTTTTTACAAACACTTTCTGAAAAAAAGAATAAAAAGAAAACAAACATCTGCAAACTGAGTAACTTCGAAGATTTTGACGTTTCTCATCTTCAATCGACCCAAGTATGAAGTCGCTTTGAGCGACAAATCATCTCTCTTTCCTTTTTCGCGGTCGCGAACCTTGAATATCCCTATTTTGAAGATGAATATGTTTTCATTAGAGTTAGTTCTTTCGAGAAATATAGTCAGAATTCAGTTGAGGTTTTTCCTTACTAATTAATCCTGAAAGAATGATTACGAGCGGCGGAAAATCTTCATAGCAATTATAAGTCTTTTCTGAGAACATTTTTGAGATTTCAACGAGCATAGAAGAGTTTCATGGATGGTCTCGAAGCGAATAGCCATAAATTAAAGAAAACTAAAAAATGCGTCTCTTCGATCCTCTCAGGAAGGTTTAACGAAACACAGAAAATGGAAAAAAAAGAGTAAGATGTGAATTTTGGAACTTTTTCGAGTGAACCATTTGTAAGATGTGCTTCATATTGAGAATATATACCTTGGCGACAATTTTTTCGACGTCTTGGACGAGGTTCGAAATGAGAGGGAAACTGGTGCACAACTTGGTCATCACCACGAGACAGTTGCGAACCAGCACAAACTCATTTTCTTCGCGCGACAAAATTATTCCAAACATTTTGCTCAGACGTGTCTGAATATCGGTTTGTGATTCTGAAGGGAGGAGAAGAACACACAAACCTGCCACTTGTAGCACAGTTTTCGGAACGATTCATACTCAATGGGCTGTTTCGCACAGAAACCGGGAGAATCGTAGCATTCGGCGTCGAAAAGGTCCTTGTCGGCGTGCCAACGTTGAACTTGGGCCAGTATTATGGCAAGGAAACTGGATTCTCATAATAATTTTCGCATTCTCTTTAAAAACGACCTTCCGAGCGAATTAGCTTCATTTTCCGTCAAACCACTTATGAGTGGCAGAATGTCGATGAACAGCTAAATTATGGTTTCACATGATAAGTAAGAGTAGAAAAAACCCGATTGATTAGGATGAGAGTTGGGAAGAAAGTGGTCCTCTGTTGATGCAGGTGGATAAAAAAGCGACCGCAGTAAAGCTGAATACTTGTTTTCGAACTTTTTTCGAGCCGAAGCACTATCCTTTTCAATTTTAAAATCGTTTTTTGAAGCCAAAATATTTCCTATGAACATACTTTTGCATCCAGTCATTAAATCGATATTCAACAGCCCAACACAATCTCTCACTTTGAAAAACTTTGTATGAGTTTTTGGCACCTCTTCGCTTTAGTTCGAACACGAATGAGAGAAGAATACACACTTTAGACAGTTTGTGAAACTTTGAAAAATGGTAATATCTATGCTCGCGAATGTTATGGTAATACCTATGCTCGCGAATGAAAGAGCTCCACAATCTATGCCGGACTCTGTTGTGCGACTGCTCCACAAGAAAGGAAACTGCCTGGACATAGGAAACTACCGACCAGTAGCACTATTGTCCGTCGTGTACAAATTGTTCACCTCGATACTTCGAAGAAGAGCTACGCGTGAACTAGAGGCTGCTCAACCCATCGAGCAAACTGGTTTCCGATCCGGATTCTCGACATCGGAAAACACCCTGGTCGTGACCGAGATGATCCAGAAGTCTCAGGAATACAAGTTCCCCTTGTACCTGATGTTCGTCGACTACAAGAAAGCCTTCGATTCTGTGGAGTTCGGCTCTCTCTGGACGGCTCTCAGCGAGTTTGGAGTCCATTCGAAGATCGTTATGACTCTGAAAAACATCTAAGAAGAAGCAGAAGTCTCTGTCAGAATTCGAGGACAAGATGTACCAGTTCGAATACAGAAAGGAGTGCGTCAAGGGGACACGATTTCCCCAGACTTGTTCAACGCCACCCTCGAGCACATTTTCCGAAGGCTTAATTGGGAGAGCTATGGATTTTCTGTGAACGGAACGACTTTGACGCACCTTCGTTTTGCGGATGACGTCGTACTGTTTGCATCCAGTGCGCAGAAGATCCAAGAAATGGCTAACGCGCTGGCAAAAGAGAGCAAGAAGGCCGGCTTGGAAATCAACTTCGCGAAAACGTTCATCATGGCTAATCGAGCCCAAAGAAATGTCGAGATTGATGGGAAAATAATCGCCTACACGGATGGGTTCATCTACCTCGGTACCCATCTCCACTTCGCTGATGGCTCGAAAACCGAAATCCAACGCCGAATTCGTTCTGCATGGAGCGTCTTCCACAAGTTCAAAACGTACTTAACACGAAGAAACGTTTCCAATATACACAAAGCCAAGATATACAACATGTGTATTGAACCAGCTTTTCTCTATGGTTCGGAAACTTGGACTCTGAAGAAGAAAGAAAGGAATCTTCTGGCAACGGCACAGCGGAAAATGATGCGATGGATGCTCGGAGTAACATTGCTCGACAGAAGAAGAAACTCCTGGCTCTATGAAAAGTTGAAGCTACGCGAAGTTCGGTCGGAAGCTGTGAAGAAAAAATGGCTTTTCGCAAAGAAGATCGCTACGGGAGAAGACACATGGGCGAAGAAAATCGTGGAATGGCGACCATGGGAGAAAACGCGTGGAGTTGGACGACCCAAACCCCGTTGGCGAGATGACCTACGAGCAGTTCTCGGTGAAAGATGGGCGACAGTTGCGCGAACCAACAAACATCTCTTCAAATATTCCATGATTCAGCAGATACAAGATTACTCTGAGGACTGAATAAATGTTAATGTTAAATGTTAACCTATGCTCAATTGTGCTAAAACTTCTAAAATCACTAGCCTAACCTATTTAACGATTAAATGTGGATCTGTTCAAAAAGTTTGGCAGTGGTTTTCAAACTAGAAAATGTGTAGAAACTTTGTGCGATGATCACTTAAATGAAAACGGCTTTTTTTTTTCGCATTGAGACTTTCACAGATTCTGTCGGTCCTCCTCAGAGGACCGGAAAAAAATTTGTTTTTTTTGTAAGAGCGATTGATCCTTTACGCCTTGTTTGCAAGTGCGAAAACAAAAAAAAACGAACCGCGTCGCCTTCAGAGAAAAGAGCTCGCGGCAGGACGCAAACTTGGAGAAAGCCGTCCGCCTGGCCATCTGAAAAGGGCAACTATCATTTTCGCGCTTCTGAGCTCACTTGGATTCTCCTCGAAAAATGGAGTTCTTGGAGGCGTCGAGCCACGTGCGCATCCGTTCGACGTGGTCAGTCTGCCTTTTTTGCTCCTCGCGCAGCTTCGATTCCAGTCCACGGAGCCGTTCTTCCTCCTTTGTCCGTTTCGCTTTGCTCTAAACTTTGATATTTTCTTCTTTTCTGTACAAAGCACAATCACCAGTTCGAAGCTATCCATCACCTCTCGCGCTTGTCGCCGAACATTTTCAATTGTTTTCTCGTAAGCAGCGTTTGGAACTTCAATGTCGTAGAGCGACATCATCCAGAAAACGGCAATAAGTCTTGAAAACAGAGAAATATCTTCGTGAAACCCTCGAACCTTGGCGGCAACTTGCAGTCGACAGGGAAAGAAATGTGATTTTGAATCTCGGCGACCACGTCGTCGATCGTCTTGTCCAGAGCCGTTTTGAAGAGAACGTGCTGAGGGGACGATTTCGATAAGAGAACAAGCACGGGATACCTTCTGGGCATTGTCGATTTTGGTTTTTTGTCCTTCGATGTCGTTTGCTCGAACTTTTTTCTTTTCTTCGTCGTACGCCTCGATGACCTCAAGATCAAAACTTTGTAGCTAAACTGAATTTTTTTTTCATCTGGAAATATTTCCATGGTACATATATCACTCGTAAAAAAGATTCGTTTACTGAAAAATGAATAAAAATTCAATTCATTCTCAATTTTCTAAAAAAAAAACCTTGGGTATGAAAGTCGGCCTCGAAAGATACATGGCGGCGTCAAGACGCAAGAAGTATTCGGAGAGTAGTCGATGGAGAGGCGGAATTCGCCTTGTGTACTCGTCGGCCTTGATGTAGGATAACAGAAATGTTCCCAGCTGTTGGAGTGTGTCGCTGCACTGAAATAGACCTCTTCTCCAGGAGGAGGAAGGTGAAACGAGACCTGGTCGACGAGTTCGCCCACCAGCTTCAGCGGCAGAGTCTTACTGTCTTCAAATATCACGTGGTCCCTCTGTTGAGCCACCAGAATGCACATTCCTGTCTAAAAAAGAAAACTTATGTCGAAAGTCGAGTTGACCAACAGCCAGATCTCCGGTGAGTAAGGAATCGCGAAGCCTTTGTGATGCTCGTTTGTTTTTTGCGTTACTGTAGCCGCCGGCCTGAAGAATGAAGCCTGTGAGAAGATCAACACACATAAATAAGTTCAAAGCGAAGGATTCGGGACATAATAGTTTCGCATTGCAAGGCAGAAAATAGTTTCGAATGAGCTGACCTCTTGTCGGAGCACTTCGCCTCCACTGAGCGCCTCGACGTGTTCTTGTGTGGCCGCCGTGCTGCTTTCCACCCAAGACATGCTCTGGATGACTTCTCGGAGCAGGAGCAAATCGACGCTGAACTCGAAAAAGCCCATCCGCATCTCCTATGCCGTTCCCACCTTTTGCAACATTTCAGTTGGTTGGCCACCAGATCCAGAATCCCATTCAGTTCCAACGTGTAGCGTTTGTAGACAGAGCCAACCTGAACTCTTCGAGATCCCGATATCTTGTTCATTGCCCTACAAATGTTCCGAGTGCCTGCAACCAAGGCGAAAGAGTCGCATCCGATGCTTTCAGCTGGTTTTTCGCCGGGTCGGCAAGTTGTGTAACGATGCAGTCTATGAGAAAATAAAATTACCGAAGAAAAAAAAAACAAAAAAATTACAGGTGAGAACATCCAATTCGAGATTGGTCAAGAACTTCAAGCCATCGACTATTGGACCAATGAAGTTGTCGAAAGTTTGAACCTTAAATTTCATCGTCCAGAAATTAAGGAACCGGGATATATTTATATATAAAAACAGAGATTTCAGGTGGAAACTATGAAGATTTTTTTATTCTTTTTCTTTTTTTCATTGAAAAAAATGAGTTTATTTCAAAAAGACGTGAAAAATTATTTTTACTCTCAGAAAATAGAAAAATGAACTACAGAAAATTTCAACGAAACTAATTTTTTTACCGAATAAGATTTCCTAATTATAACGATTACGAAACAAAAACTAACATCCAGAAGAGAAAAATTTAAAGAATCGCTTTGTTATATTGTTGCGATTGAGAACATCCAAGAATCTCACATGGAAGGAAAAAGAGATGCATTTTTCACAAAAGATAACTGCCGAGTCTGTCGCGAGAGAAATGCGAAGTCGCTGGCCGGCCGTACATGGACAAAATCTCGCTTTTCCCTCGCGCTGTTCTCGCAATTTTCACGCACTCAAATAAGTTGGGAAATTTCCAAAATGCGAGGTCGCGCTTAGAAAAAAAACAAGATCCGCACGAGAATTGAGCATCATTTTTGCGAGTTCGCTCATGTATCGCCAGCAACCTTGGTCCTTATCTCGGCAATTATTATCCGTGTTTTCATAGCTCTTTTTCGGAAACTGTTTAGTCCGCGCGGGTTCTTCTCTCTGAATTTGCCAACCTGACTAAGGAGATAGTCGAGAACAGTCATCGGGTGGATGTGACACTGCTTGCCGAGCTGTCGTCCGATCACCTTCACTGTTTCCTTCGACAATCGCCTCAAATTATTCTTTCCTTCTCCGAGTCGAAACCAAATGAAACTTGAGAACGTATCGGGTTTTTCCCAGTACTTTTCCTCGAGCAATGTTGATTTCGGGATGGCGGACAGACTGTTGAGACCATCTAGAAACACTCTTTGATTATCCGCACATCAACAACTTCCAAAAAAGATCAGAAAAAAAAACTGGACGGGGGTTGAAAAGTGAAGAAATCACCTTCCATAGAGACGATAACGCCAAGAATATGGGAAGATCTGAAGCAGGAGCCAAAGTTCTTCGGAGAGAGCGGCGTTGGTTTCGGAGAGGGTGAGAGAAGGTAGGAGACATTCCTCGATGATGTCCATGAACGTCCGTGAAACTTAAGCACCAATTCAGCGCGAAAGAAACTCGTTAACTGTTACTCAGAACGTCTTCGTCCTCTTCGCCTTTTTTGTAGAAGTCAGTGATTAGTCGGAGCAGTTTCACTGTCATTTTAGGCGAATAGGCTATCCGAGGACCCAAGTACCACAGTACTGAGCTCAAGTCGGCCAGTTCCTTCCAACTCGTGACCTAAAATTGGATATAGACCTAGTGAAAATGTCGAGACACACGTGCCAGATTAATTGAAAATCTTATTTCACTCCTTTAAAAGCTTTTTTTTTGTGATTTGAACAAAAATTTTTCTTTAACTAGGAGGAAAACATTGAAAAAAAAACTGTTGGAGAAAGTCAAGGCCGCGGGGACTTCGAGCATAATTCATAGTTGGATTTCGGGAAACATGAGTTTCTCATAAATCGAAATTTGAAGCAATGCCACAGACTTGTGCAGCACCTACTGTGAAACTAAGAACCATGTGGTCATTCATTTCACCTTGCTCAGGCCTTGCTGGGCCGCGACATCGCCATCGAAGCCAGCGCAGAGGTCTTTCTTCGATTGGTGGAACCTGCGAGAGCACCGTTTGAGATAGAAATCGTCGATGGCTTTCTCGATCAATTCGCACAAAGCGCGACACAACCGAGGACTGGAAACTGCAGATTTTGCAGACAAGGAGAACGGATCTGGAGGAACCTGGACTGGACAGCGTAGTACTCAGGAAGCCGGTCGAGCAGAGGCTGCGCGTGGAGCCAACTTCCGGCCTCCAGAAGAGCACAGGCGACGCCTAACTTCTGGTTGGTCGCCAGAGATACGTTCTGACAAGTAAAATCATTTCATTATGAGTCAGGAGTTTTCTCGTTTAGTTACAATTTCGTGCACTGCAAGCGCTCCCTGATTTTTATCTGAGAAAATAGGGTTTCGATTCCTTTTGGTTATCACCCTAAAAAAAAAGAAAAAGAAACCTCTGTGAAGTTTTCGGCCAGCTTGAGGTCGTCCGCTTCCTGCTGGGCTGTTACAGTTGCGAATGAAACACTTTGTATCTGTAACAAAAGAAAATTCGGAAAACTAAGACATGAGAATTTCCTCAAAAACGCGAGATTCACTTTTTTCGTGATTCCTTCTGTCTTTAACTGAGAGACTTTTCACTGCTGTGTAAGAGTGTTAAAAAAATGAATCTAAAAAAAATTTTTTTACTTAAAAAGTATTTGAAACGTAAAATTGTTTAGAAAAAGACCTGAAGAAAAAAATTCATTAATTTTAATCTCCCCTTAAAAAAAGACGACAAAAACAGCCTTTTTTTAAACAAGAATACGAATTATCTATAGAATAATTAAATATTAGCTCGATTTGGAAAAGTGAAAAAACTCAGGGTTCAAACCATTGTAGAAGGGCCAAGACTGCCGGCGTCCTCTAAATTGCGAACAGAACTCGATTCAACGGGAATGGATGCAGTTGATATGGTCTCCGCCTGAAACAACAAATGAACTGCCTGATATTAAGGATTTCGCATCAAAATTTTCCATCTTCAAATTCGTGCGTCTTCTAGGTATTTTCTGATTTCAATTGTGCGTTCCTACTATTCACAGCTTCGCGCCATAAAAAGTATTTGAAAAACCCCGAAAAAACACAACTCCTTTCGCTTTTTACCCCGTTTTCGAAGATTCTTTTTTGCAGAGCCCTGATAAAGACAAATGATACCTTGGATGCCCTGGCTTGCCCGTTTGAAGCCCTTGCCCTGTGTCCTTCTTTTATGGCTTCTGTTTTTGGGACCATCTGCAAATAAAAGACGTTTTCGAAAATAATTTATCAAAACGCTCACATATGCTAAAACTTTGAGAATGTCGAGCAAATCATTTCTGATTAGCTCTGCAGTGACAACATAAAGAGAGTACGGCGTTGATTTCGACGACTTCTGAAACATTGATGGTAAGAAAAAAGATTCCGAGAATTCGCCTGTAAGTTCAAACCCTCTGAATTCGCAATTATGTATCTATTTTATGAGAATTTTTCTAACAGTTGCAAAGAAAAACTAGTTTGAACTGGTCTTGATTTAAAAAAATAATCTATTTTTTCAGCGAAAATTCGATTTTTGAGTTCAAAAATTAACCCATTTTTCTTATATTTCCATTGAAATATTTCAATAATCAATCACCTGTTTATGAGGCGATTTGAAATTAAGACGAAGAAATGAAAAGAAATGAAAAATGAGGAAAACAACTTTTTCCAATTTTTTTTTTATTATGACGAGCTGTCTTTGAAATCAGGTCATTTGTCGGATTGAAAAAAAAGATTGAATTGTAGAAAATGAAGTTATTAAATATAGCATGGAGAAATCCAATCATTTCAATAAATTCTTTTCGACGGTATTCACAGATGATAATAATTTGCCTTTCAACATAGCTACTAAAACAAGCAGGAATCTAATGGACGCTGATGTTGCACCTCATGTGGTGTACAAGTGCCTTAGAAGAATTAAAAACGTAAATTCAGCAGGTCCTGATGGTTTACCTAGTTCAATTTGCAGAGGTCTAGCTATATCGATAGCTCTCCCTTTATCACTGATATACAGGAAAGGTTTAGATTCGGGCAAGTTGCCTAGTTTTTGGAAAAAGTCAATCGTAGTTCCTATATACAAAAAAGGAGATCCAAACGACGTAGGTAATTATAGACCAGTTAGTTTGACATCAGTCCCGTGTAGAGTTTTAGAATCTTTGATGGTGAGAGCTTTGAGAAACCACATGTGGCAATCTTCGCTCATCTCTGATAGCCAGCATGGATTTTTAAATCATCGCAGTACTATCTCCCAATTGTTGCCACTTCAAAAATATCTGTTTGAGGAAACTCGAAATCATTACGTTGAAGTCATATATTTAGATATAAAAAAAGCTTTTGACACGGTTTGTCATAGAAGATTGATTGAAGTATTGAAATCCTACGGATGTACGGGAGTAATACTCAACTGGTTCGAAGAATTTTTGAAAGATAGATCACAAAAAGTTAATGTCAATAACAATATTTCGAATGAGATAAAAATATCGTCAGGTGTACCGCAAGGTAGCTCATTGGGACCTCTTATGTTTTTAGTATATATCAATGACTTGTCAGAAGTTATTAAATACTGTAACTTGAGCATGTTCGCAGATGATTGTAAACTGTATTCATCTAGTAATATAACAAACCATAAAAGCCAAACTTCAAGAAGACTTAAAAAAATGTATACCAATGGTTAGAGGGCCGTCAACTATCAATATCTCCTGAGAAGTGCATGTTAGTTCAGTTTGGAAAAAAAGACAGAACCCAGTACATACAAAATTAACGATCAAACTCTTTAGCACTAAAACAAAAATGTCAGAGACCTGGGATTCTTCTTCACGAGTAATCTGAAAATGGGGCACCATGTGAGTATAGTAGTACAAAAATGTATGAAAATAATAAATAATTTATTTCGTTGTTTTTCATTTCTCTCAAAATAACTTTCTAAAAATGCTATAAAGCCAAAAATCTTATCTATCATTGAGTACGGATCCGAACTAATGTGCCCGCTAAATTTGAATGATATAAATCAACTAGTATCAGTCCAGAGAAAATTTACCAAAAGATTATATCCGAAATTGGATTATCGCAGTAGATTAGCCAAACTGAAACTATCGACGTTATGGACTAGAAGACTTTTTAAAGACGTTTGTTGCGTTCACAAATACATTCATGGATATTTTTGGAGTGAGTCGCCTGTTAAATTAATGATGAACTCGAGTAGAAATAATCAACTCAGAGGAAATGGAATGAGACTTGTTCAACCAATGAATGAATTGATCAAACAACGCTTCCTAAATCATAGAGTCATACCCATTTGGAACCAACTGGAGAGAGAAACTATCATTGAACGAAATCGGCAAGTTTCAGATTATGCTCACCTCATGGTTCGAATCAAACACATCGTTTTTAAAATCATTAGATCCTACTAAAATCTAGAAAAATTCTAACTTATTAAAAAAAACAAAGAACAAACTTAAATACCAAATGGGGGTTAGCACCGTCTATTCAGACAATCTTTTCCTCCAGCCGTTTCCACAGATCAGCTGTTAGATTTATTTGATTGTTTTTGATGTTTTATTTGTTTTGTATTTGTCGTGCTGATTGCGGAATGGCGAATAAACACTTGAAATGAATGAAATGAACTACCACAACGAAAAAAAAAAAGAAAAAGTTAATTCTAAAAAAAACAGATTAACCTGATAGAAAGTATATTTGAAACCGAGTAACGCGCACAGATATTCTCTCACAACGTTTATTTCCTTGAGGAGAGTTATAAAAAAAGCCTGAAAAGAAGCTGTGAAAATATTTTTCGCAAAAAAAAAAAACCTTTTCCGAAGGTCTGCTTTCGAAGCACTCGAGAATGATATCGATAACCCGACTCGGATCCAGATTGAATTGCCCTAAACGAGTCGATTTTCAAGTTTCAAAACTTTATTGAGAAGCTTACCTATTAAACACAGAACTCTCGTTTTTATGATGCCGCTCATTTGAAGAGGATCATTTCCATTTACCTAAAAAGAAAAAGACTTATACATTGGTGAATAAAATTTTTACATTCTTCGAAAAACTAAAATTACAGAAAATTTTTTAATAAAAATTCAACCTTTTTTTTACTTGTGTACTGAAATGAACAAATTTTTGAAAAACGGAAACTAACCTCCATCAATTCCGTTATAAGTTTTGAATAACCTTCGCTTTCTTCTCGTAGTAGGTTGAACTTGGCTTGTTTGAAACTGAAAATGGATTGAGCAAAAAATCAGAACGAGAACTCACTATAGACGAGTTTTCGTTCGAATTAGTTGTTGCTTGAATTCTTGTTTCAAGGCGTCCAAACAGTCAAGTTCAGCGCGAAGAACTTCTTCCGGGATGACCTAATACAAAAAAGGCAAATTTTAGCAACACCTTATTGTCGAAAATATTCTGAACAAAGGCATTGAGCTCATGCTCCTCACTTATTAGAAAAAAAAACAGTACCGTATCAAATAGCAGAGCAACAAACTCTCGGAATTTTTTTTCTGCGTTCTCTCTGGATTCTGCCAAGTGAACTTCACCTTCTACCGTCACTAGCACGTCTAACAATACCGAACTCGTATCTTTCCTCTCGTCCTTAAATTTCGATGATAAACCTTATTTTTTCATTAACTAACAATAAATATTGAGAGCTGATTGAAGGCTAAAACAGCCGTTTGAGTGCCAGCGATAACATCTTGACAAATCTTGTATATTGAGCTGAACAAGTCCGTATCATTGTACACATCGCACATTTAGCAGCTGTATCTGGAAACGGAAATATATAACTATGATAAAAATGGACGACAAAGAATCAAAAAGTCCGTGCAGGCGTGAAATCCTTTTTAATTATGTGAATTTTTTAATATCAAAACGGCGTCTATATTTTCGCGTTATTTAACTTGATGATAGGTTCTAGATGCAAGCTAGAGTTCAGTAGACTTTTAGAGTGTGAAAACGAACAAAAAAGAAAAGAAAAATTTAACATTTTAACGAAAAAAGGAAAAACGAGGAAATGCGCACATTCGAAAAGAAAAGCGCGCTCCACCGAAAAAACCGAACATTCAGAAGACTTCTCGGACATTCTCTGACCCCAGTCGCCAGCTTTCCGCCAATCTTTCGCCAGCGCGCGCCGCGTCTTTCGCGAGGTGGCGCGCCATATCGCGGCGAGCTGGCGAAAAACGCGCCAGAAATTCGCCAGGGTTATCTATAGCGCGCAGATTCCCCCTTTTTTTCAATCATTTCCCTTCCTCCAATATTGTTATTTTTTTATACTAAAAATATATTTTATCAAATTTTATTATTTCACAAATACAAAATTTAATGAAAATAAAATCAACATATAAAATCAAACATGAAGAGAACTTTTAAAAATGAGATGTAAGAAGGAAACGCTTGCAAAGTTTACAACTTAATTTAAAAACAATATCTTTCGATTCGAAAAAGATCATAATAACAGAACATCAAAAACTTTTACCAAACAATACATCTTAGAAAAATGTAAGCCAAAAAAATCCGAAGAAATAAAGGAAACTTGAAGCTGACTGCTCGTAAACCCAAAAAAATTTTTTTAATTTAAAAATTTTTTTAATTTTCGATAATATGCAAAAGAGTTATTTGTTGCTTCAAAATACCAAAAAGAAGAGAGAAATTTTTAAAGGTCCAACGCATTTAAGAAGTGATATCGAGGAGCAGTCAATTTTTAAGTTTTAAAATTAGTTTATAGAGAATTAAACAGAAGACTCTTATACAAAGTTTTTTGAAAAGAGGAAATTAAAAAGGGGATGACTATGGTTTTTTGTCTGAGCTAGATGAGTAGGTTGAGGAAAAGAGTCAAATTGGAGTCCTACTGAATTTCTCTTGATTTGAGAAAATGTAGAAACTGACTCTTTTCGTTGCCGCTCCCTGCTTAGCGGTGTTGTTGCCTGCCACGCGGGTCTTCCTGAGTGAGCGTTGAGTGCGGGTCGGACAGCGATCCGTTCAACCTCAAACTTGGGTAATTAAACCTTTATCGTAAATATTCCGCGAACAAATTATAACGATAAAGCAATAAATTCAAATAAACAATAAGAATGGAAAATTGATTGAAATGAAAAAGGATGGAAGAGGAGAAATGGTTTGGGGGCGAACGACGTGGCTGGCTAGACAGGTAATGGAAAGGCTCCTAATGGACCTTTCCCCTGGCGAGCCAGCCACGTCATCCTCTGAGTGGCGGGGAGGCAACTACCTTTGAGTCGGTGTCGACACTCCCCGCCTGAGATGAGTTGGGGATGACTTATTATGAATAAGGAGATGAATTTGGATGGGATGAGGAATGAAGTTAGCATTGCATTTTAAAATGAAAAATATGAGTGAAAAAGTATGAACGGAAAAGAGACAAAAAATGAGAAAATTAAATGAATAAAATGAGGAAAAAAATGAACACAAAAAATTGCTTTTCCGCTTTCCTTAGCGTTGTTCTCTGAGTTTTATGAGTGGTCGTCGTCCGACGGTTCCCGCCTCGGATTGAATGCTTGTTGAGGTTGCGTTGATTTTTACTCGTGAAGAAAACTTTGAGCCATTTATCACTTTACTTCAAATGGCCACAAAATGAAGAAAAATAGTGCGAAGAGATTCTGATTGTTCACAATTATGATCAAAGCATTACATTTTTGTTGTGCAGGGATACAACACGGTTCTTCAAATTTATCAGCCCCTTTTCAAAGCAAACTACGGAACGTATTTTCAAGTCCGAAAAAAACTGCTTCGAAAACTCTACTCGTCAGCCGAATTTCGCGAGCATGACAAATCCGAGTAATATTTTTGAGGCTAAAATATATAAGCTGTATTTTTAAAGCTGAATTTTTACGACGGACACAAAAATACAATAATTTGGGTGCATCAAGATATTTTTGAGGCTCATAAAGTTGATGAACGTGTAAAGTTTACAAATATAAAAAACTCGAAAATTTCGCGGACATTTTGCGTCGTACCCGTTCTCCGTATTTTGGTCAAAGCATCGTTATCTATTTGCAATGAACATAATGACGCCGTCGGGTGAGATCGAAAATAAATCGATGAAGTACTTTACATGAAATCCAAAGCCGTAACGGGGACTTCCTGACGATGCTTTTTTTCTGAAGGAAGCAGTTGAGGAAAAAAGTAGAAAGCACTTACTAATTCAACTGGAGTCGTTCTTTCAGCCTCACGGAAAGAGAAGTTCAGCATGAAAACATTAAGCTTTTAGAGCGGTTGATCATCCACGAAACTAAATCGAGAAAATAATTCGAATTTTCGTATTTACCAACCTTTCAAGCTGTTGTTTTTCAAACCTGAAACCCTCCGTCGCATCACATTTACTGAGCTCTACACAAATAAAAACAAAGGTTTATATTCTAATAATTTTTCTGACTTTTTTTAAACTTCTTTTCAACTAAAGCCTGTTCTTTTGTTTCGTTTGAAGGAGGATACGTGCCTTTGCTGCAGAACTCCAGATGTAAAAACTATCTTATAAATTTAATTGTCCTGCAAAAAAATCGCGTTTCTTTTCTTTGAACGACCTACGCAACCTACAGTTTTTCTACTTCTATACACAGCTTTTTGAATTTTTACAAAAAAAAAGAAAAAATGAAATCAAGAAAAATTTCTTGTTACATCAAAACTGCATTGCGGCATCGCTTTTGCCCTAGTTTGGACAAAACAGGAAACGAACACTGAAAAATCGTGAAATCAGCAAAAAATCAAATAGAAAAACAAAAAGACAAAAAACGCGAGTCCCAAAATTTTAGATCGCAATATAAAATACAGTAATAAAAGCAAATTCGCGCTATTGGTTACGTCGCCAGAGAATCGCCAGGAAACCGCCACAAATTTGATGGGCGCGAGCTCGCGAAATGACTTTTTCTGGCGGATAGCTGGCGCCTGGGGTCAGAGTTGGTAACGCGAAACGACCGTGCTCCGGACGTTTCTGAGCGATTCTAGGGATCTCTTAAGAGTTCTGAGGCTACTAAAGTGGTCACTAGAAATGCCCCGACACGTCCGATTCGCGTCCCGTTCGCGTTACCAAGTGAGTTCCTCTGACACGGCCCGCATAAAGGCCGTCACAACTTTTTCTTGACACACACTATTTCGTCGTTATCTAGCTGCGAGAAAACGACGAAATAGCGTAGGTCAGAGTACGAGTTGTGGCGGCCTTTATGCGCCCCATTTCAGAGTCACTGAGAATAACTGCCGAGATAAACGCCAGATGCTGACCCGCGGGCCGGTCGGCCTGACGCACAAAGAAACGACGCGTCGCCTGAAGCAGGCTTGTGGGTCAAGCCGGGCGGCCCGGGCCGGCCTGGCTCGGGCTTTAGGCCTCATTTTCAGGAAAAAAGCCCGCGTGTGCTCGGGCCGGGCCGGGCTTCAAAAAAATTCACTTTAAAAAAATTTTTTTCACCGAAATGTTACTTTTACTTTTTGAAATCATAGTTTTTTTGTTAAACTTTGAGTGAAAAAAATTGAGCAAAAACGTAATTTTTTTGTCGGAGAAAAAAACTTGATATCCGACTAGAAAAAAATTGCGCGTTTTTGGGCCGGGCGGGCCATTTTTTTCTTGAGGCCTCGCTAAGGCCGCGCCAGGCTGGGCTTACGAAATGGTCGGGGGCCGAATGGGTGACGGGCCGGCCCTCGCACAAGCCTGGCCTGAAGCCCGGTCGTACGACACGGGCTTTATAGTCCGTTCAGATTTTGAATGTCAAGTCGCTTCTAAAGCTCCACCCCTAATGGCCCGAAAAGCCAATCAGAGAGCGAGCCATCCACAGAGCGCTTTCGAATGACGTCATTGTACTTGACATTTAAAATATGAACAAACTATAGGCCTTATTATCATTTTTTTGAAACTTTTTTTGAGCTTTTTGCTGCGCGGGGTTGGGCCCGGCCAGGCTACGAATAAAATTTTTAATTTCATCCATAATTATTTTATCTTAACTCAATATTTTCACCTCTGATTGGTTTATTGCACCATTATGGGCGGAGCTTGAGCGACGACTTGACATTCAAAATCTGAACAGACTATAAAGACTGCAATTTTGAAAACCAGGAATGGCTTTGAAAGGTTGCTCCACCTAAAAATACGGGAGACAGTTTTGCGCGGGAGAATTAGAATTTCTTGTTGCTCAAATTCTTCAGGTGATTTTTCATGTTTATTTTTTTTTTTTGTTAAACGAACATGTTAACCTTTCATTCTGCTCTGCTCATTTTTTGTTAAACGAACATGTCAACCTTTCATTCTGCTCATGAGCAAGATTTGGCAGTGGCGACCATCACACCAAAATAACGTCAAACCGCGATCTACATTTTAAATGTAGATATATTCTTGGAGCAAACTCAAAAAACTCTTATGGTAATTTCAGAACAGAAGGAGACATATACATATTCAAGGAGGCATTTTACACAGTGTTTCAATCTAATTTTTTTTTTCACTTTGCGGTCGGAAATTTCCTAAAAAGTTGTCAGACACGGCGTTTTTTTTATTACGCAAGGTCAAGACTTCTCGTAAATTATGATGTTTAGGGTGTAAGCACACCGAGACGCACTATCGCATACTCAAAATTGTTTTTTTTCAATTTTAGAATTTGCAATTTTAGGATAATAACTTCTGAAATGTTCGAAATCTTATCAGTTTGAAGATTATGATGTGAAAAAAAACATTCACTTGCGTTTAAAAAAATTCAGGAACGATTTCGGAAGGGGAAAAAATTACTGATTACAAACATTTCAACAACCGAGAGTAATTGAAGAATTTTTTAAGTCGCGCTCTGGAGAAAAAACACTTTACGTTCACTCAACCTTACATTATTTTTTGGTAGAACACATGAAGCAGGTCATCGGAGACGATAATTATATAGTTTTGAACACCAGTAATTGTTTATTATTAGGATATTTTTCGCGACCACTGCCTAGCTGTGATTTACCAAAAGAATCTCGGATTATGAAAAAAATGACATTTGGCAATGAAACTAATTAAAACCAAAGAGTTATATAAAAAGAAACGAGCAAAATCAGCGCAAACTGTGAACAAAAAAATTGACGAATTTTCAAAAACTAACTCCTTCCTCAGTTTTGAACGAAATTCCATGGAACCGCTTTCAATAGATGTGTAATATGCTACTATTTCACAATATGGACATCTCGCAAAACCCAAACATGAATAGACAGAGAATAATTTGAAAAACCACCGAAAAATGACATAAAAACCGAAAAAAATTTGAATTTCGCGGGGGCCTGTACAAAGTGCGCTCCATCGGTCGGCGGCAATCTTTTTACATTTTCTTTCACTGCGTGGAACGCCGTGCAGAACAATTTTCGATGCATCGGATGAATTTTCTCAAAGCCTCAATCTGCACAACGTAAATTTGGTGTTGACAAGATATATACTGCACATTAAATTACGATTAAAAACTAAATAATACGATAAAACTAAAAAACTAAAACTGTTTGAAAAACAGTTACGAATTTTTCAAAAAAAAAACCCCCCTCATTTCAAATTTTAACAATCGCCGGTATTAATTTAGTGAAAAAGCTATTGATAATAATATACTAGTATCTTGAAAAAATAGTCAAGTTCTACATATTTTGATAAATTCCAGAGAATGAATATTCTTTCGGCAAAATTGTTTCTAAATAATACACGGATAACTCTCAAAAAAATTTGGTGATCTTTTCATTTCTTTAACGGATATTTTGCATTTCGCGGAATAAAATTGAACACGGGGGCCGATGAACTGACGGCCTTCGCATAAGCAAGGTTCCACGTTCAAAATCTGAACGGACTATAGCAACAAAAAAAAGAAAGATTTGTTGTTAGAAATATAGTCGCGATAAAATCATCAAACTCAATCAAAACTCTTCAGGCATCCAACAGTAAGATCCTCTTCAATTCCTCCTTTGAACAGTTATCGTGACTAATATTCTGTTCAAGTTTTTAATGCCGAGTCGACGCTGAAACTCCGCCCCTAATGGCGGGATAAACCAATCAGAGATTGAGCCGTCCACAGAGCGTTTTCGAAATACGTCATTCAATTGAAATTTAAAATCTGTATATATGTATTCCGAATCTTCGCTCTAAGCGATAAGAAAATACCGTACTGTTTTTCTGGAAATCGAGATATAATATTAAACGTCCACAGTTTTTAAATAAAATAACGTTTCAAAAGTTTTTAGAAAGCTAAAGTAGTGAGGAAGGAAAGTACTAAATTGAACACGGGGTGGAAAATTTTCATGTCTGTGAAGTTCATTTCCATAAAAAAATATTTATTCTAGTCCAATGAATGCAGAAAGTCTCTTGTTGGCGTGGAATTGTCAGTTGTCTTTAGCTTCAAAAATATCGCAGCGGGCCACCGTGGCACACTGCGGGACCCTGGCGTTGTCCCAATAGTGGCGCAAGGCATAATCGCTGTCCTAAAGCAAAAACGGTATTAAAAAGCTGTCGGCAAAAATCAGCACCGAGAAAAAAGAGGACGCGCATTTGCTTTGCTTGATGACGTTCACGTAAAGCTTCGAAGCACTTTGAAGTTTAGCAAAGGTCAAAGCTGGAAACTGCATGTACTCGTAGTAATCGTGTGATCCTCCGAATGCACCGTACGAAAGTTCCACCTTAAATGGAAGAACTTCAATGAAAAACATCAAATCGACAGAAAAAAAAATTAATGGAAGTCTGTTAGAAGAAAAGGTTTTCATATAAAAACTCCGAAGTATCGTTTCTCTTTAGTCATATGTAAATGGTCTTTCATATTCGTCTGAACAGAACATGTAAGGAGAGCAAAAAAAAAAAGAATAATCTAGAACGCGGACCATGTCGCCGGCGTGATCCTCCACGACTCGCAGATGTATAGTCGTAGCTATCTTGTCCGTGATGCCCAAGGGTCGAGCCTGATCTGAAATCGACTCGTGCCCCTCTACTCTTGCAGTGAAAGTTTCACACGGCACGACATTTCAAAAGGGAAACGAACCGGAGTCGGTAGGAATGAGGATGCTCTGTCCGATGAGCAGGTCGAAGTAGCTATTTGGGCTCATCTTTTCAGTGAGCGAGTCACTATCTGATACCCAAATCCTCAACCTGGAATTTTAGAATAATAATGGACTTAAAAAAAAATAGGAAAACCTTAGCATTTCGTTTAACTGTTAAGAAAAATTAACTCATTAGGTGTAAAAACCGAATTCGAGATGAATTCGTTACTGAAACAAACCTTCCAGTATATATCGACTTCAAACTACTATAGTTTAAAAAAAAAATTCATTCAATATATTAAAGGAAATTTCCAATAAAGATTTGAACTAGCATCCTGAAATGACTGAGCCAAAGAAACGTAAAAATTTCACCATTCGCAACCGCTTTGAACATTCATGACGAACGAAAACGTGCGATCCTTCTTCGCCATTGAAGAATTTCTGCACTGTTCCTAAATCAACGTTTTCAATGATGTTTTTAAATTATTAATTTTCTACCTCCATTCTCAAGGTGTACTGCCAGAGACTCAGTTTCGAGTCACCTGTCCTGAAAGTTTGAAAATTTTCTTTTCTATATTTTTTTAAATGACGAACTGAAAAACATTTGAGACACTTTCGAAACGAATAGTTATTCAATTGATTATAAGGAAAGCAAGCGAACATGGAAGTTCATTTTGGCGAAGGATTTGGAATTTTCAATAAATTTGCTCGAAATGGAAGTTTTTTTGGTGGCCGGTTGAATTTTTGATGACACTTTGCTGAACAGTGCAGGTTTCCTCTTTCTAGAACACGAATAAAGTTTCTCGCAATAAAACTTGTTTTCGAGATATGACGCTTTGAAGTTTGCACGCTGATTTAGTGCTGTAAGGCAAGAGGGAATCTGGATCGCGTACGATCCTTCTACTCCAGTTGGCAGCGTGGTGTAGTGACTACCGTCCTTGCGCTGCGGTGTCTATGACCGGGGTTGGAAACTTCTTGAAGAAGTTCGCTTTTCCCAAAACTTCCCTAGGAGGAATCTATCGCCAAAGTTGGAATCGATCAAATTTTTCTTTCCAGAATAACATAAATTTTCATTTTGATTCGGATTATCGACAAAATTTTTTCTACGGCCTATAAACATGATTAAAAGTATTCTATTTGGGCGAGAAAAAAAAGTTATATATGGCTTTAATCAGCGTTTAAGACCAGTTGATAATTTAAGAAAACAAATCGAAACTCACGCTACAGAAATAATAATAAGTCTGCTCCAGTTTTTTGAAAAAAAAAACCGAAAGCGGTCTATTGATTTTGTCCAGAGCTGCTGACCAGACCGGGGCACAGTTACTCAATGATATAAATGAATTTCAACTTCTTCGACCAATAGATTTATTTATTAGTCGTTACTCTGCGGATTTTTTTTTTCACTTAAACTTCATTTTAACTTATCTACTCAATGTCGATAGATTCCTCCTAGGGAAGTTTTTGCAAAAGCGAAAGACACCGCAGCGCAACGCCGGTAGTCACCATACCACGGGGCCAACTGGAGTCGAGCGCTCGTACGCGATCCATATCCGCTCTCGCTTTGCAGCACTAATTCAGCGTGCTAATTCAGGGGTCTTGTAGTACTTTTCAGCAGTTTCACCAGAAGTTCGACCGGCCATCAAAAAAACTTCTCTTGTCAAACAATTTTTGATAGACTGGGTCGTTCCCCCATAGTCGCTATCTGAGCAATTTTTCTAGTTTTTGAGAATGAATTTTTAAAGTTTTTGTATCCCTAACCATATGACACCGTTCTAACGGTTCTGATCTTCCTGGGGGAATGTGTCGTGTCTTTAGCCATTTCATGTCAGCTAGGAGCGAGGTGCAGTAGCTAGATGAACATTTACCTGTCAAATGAACAAACGAAAACATTTTCTTCAAAAATCCATTTTCTTTCTGCTCTGAATTATTTTCCCTAATATTAAATGTTCATAAGTTTTTTTTTGAACAAATAACTTTGAAAAGAAGTTCTCTGATATGAAGGATGCCACAACTCCAGAAATTTTCAAAAACTTTGTCTGGGAAAAAAAAACATCTTTTGGAGGAATATGGGTATCGAACGGTTTTGGAGCGGTTGAAAATATGAAATTCCAATATTCTTATCATAATTCGAGAAAGATAGCGTACATTTTGAGAACAAACATTATAGGCTACCGCGCTAGCCACTACACCACGTTCCTAGCTGCCAAGGAATGGCTGATGACGCTGACATACTCCTTCCAAAAGGTGTCAAATGATTAAGCTCATACGGTATGTCATACCCTATTCAAAGTAATATCCGCGAAATCCAAAATTATCTCCGACCCTTCGAAACTTAGTTATCTTTTCCAGTCTCAGACCTCTATTTCAAATTCTACGAAATTTCTTTGAAAACGCCAAAAAAACTTTGAAAAAGTCACACCGCTCAAACTAGAAGTTTGCGCAGATAGCGACTCTGGCGAATCCACTCCCAGTCTCTCAAACATTGTTTGAGAAAATTTATAGAAAATTTTTAACCCTACCCTAAAATGACCTTCTATGTAACGCGCTTATATAGCAAGAAAAAAACCTACTGGATATTTGTCGCTTGTTGGTCGTATTCATACGGCGTGTTACAACTCTGTGTAGACGCTTTCATTTTTTTCATGTATTTCTCCACAACCTCAAAAAAAAGTTTTTTCAGGGATGAAGTTAGTTTTATCTAGCCATATTTACACTGGTCAATCGGTAAGTCGATACAAGTAGGTATAGTTGATTCACGGCTAGCTTGGGACGCTAAGGGGGCGTGGCCTGTATGGGCTTCCCACGAACCAGACACTCTCTCGTGCCTTATCGTGTGAGGACCCTTTCTTCGATGGCTCAAGCCAGCCGTGAATCAGCTATACCGAGTAGCAGCTTCCAATCAGTTTGCATATGTTAATTGGCGGTTGTTTGTATGCGACCCGATACTATCTCTATGGTACCTAGATACTACCGGAAAAGTGTCGCGATGCTACCAGATACACGGTATCTACCTCACGAGCGGTAGCTACCCGGCACCTCCTTGCATCGACCTTCCGATTCACCTTTGTATTTATTATTGTTGAAAATGTCTTGAAGTTCAGTGTGACCAGCAAGTAGTTTTCGAGAAGTTATTTTGAACTGTTTCATTGAAGCAGAGGTGGAAGAAATGAGGGGCCCTCCAGGGCGCAACATGCCCGCCTCAGCCATCAGGCCTCTGAGAAGAAATGAGCCGCGTCATTATGTGTCGATGGCGTATAATACCACGTTGCAAAAAGTAGGGCGAAAATGGTCATTTTTTGTTCATTTTTTTCATTAAATCGTGGATTTCGCAATTTTTTTCAATAATTTTTTTAAATTTTTTTCCGTGGATATGTTGCCCAGTTGAACTTTTTTTATGTGAAGTACGGTTATATTTATTTTTTTCTTTAGGCGGAATGTCCCAGATTTATGGTTACGAACCCGCTGGCTAGTGAGAGAATAAATTTCCGTCGCCACCAAATTGTAAATTCGAAAAACCTTGTTTTAAAGCTTCGAAAACAACGATTTTACAAGATTTCAGAAGATTCCAATTTTTGCGCGTACTTTTTCTTCCAATGGCGTTTTTTTGCCATCGCGGTTTTGGCCCCGGGCGCCCTGGGCAGCGACTTATTAAGAAATGGCCATGGCGGCCTACGTCGGTTTAGAAATGTAAACGTTTAAAAACGCTTAGGGGCGCCATTTCTCCACCTCTGCATTGAAGTATTTAATACAAAAGTTTTGAATTGAAAGCTCGCTGAAATTTTTTAAGAGCATCGTCAATATGGGTAGATATTTGTTTTTTAATGATGGAAAAGTAACCGGAAGAAGCTGGAATTTCTTCGTTCCGCCAAGGTTTATGTGGTACTCGTAGAAATAATCCACACCTTCAAAGTTGGACGTGAAAATATGCTGCTTTTCAGTTGCGTTTTGTCTGAAAAAGAAGTTTTTAATTTTGATTCGGCTACGTGATGGATACCTAGTTGAGCAAAGGCCCTATGCAAGAAAGTGGTATTGTGATTCACGCAAAAAGGATAAACGGCTCAAACTTGATTTTCAGAATTCAAAAATAATTTTTTTTTTCCAATATGACCATCTTTGAGAGTCATTCATTCAGAATGATAAGAACTGTTCAAATTATGGTGCAAAATCTGGTCTTTAACTATTTCTAGATAAATGCGGTAAATCATTTATTTACCGTAAATGTGTTTACCATTTTCTTACACAGGCTTTACAATTCATATCCCCGTATAACGGTAGAAAGTTCAACTAGGGTCTGAATCTCTGGCGACAAGGTTGAATTAGAGGTGGAAGAAATGAGGGACACTCCCGGGCGCGATATTCCCGCCTTAGCCATCAGGCCTCTGCGATGAATTGAACCGCGTCATTATAGCTGATTCACGGCTGGCTTGAGCCAAAAAAAAAAAGGTCCTGACACGATAATGAAAGAGATGGTTAGTGGAGAGCGCGGACACGCCACACCCCCTCAGCGTCCCAAGTTAGCCGTGGCGATGGCGTGTAATATCACGTTGCAAAAGTTGGGCGAAAATTATCATTCTTGTTTAATTTTCAGTTTTCGCAGTTTCTCACTAATTTATTTTTATTTTCGGTGGTTATGATAGCCCGTGAAAATTGAGCTAGCATATCTGTTCAGCCCGTCCGATTTGGCACACTGTATGTTTAAATTGTACATACACCAACAGCGGTTTTTGGGCGATATATTCGTTATTAACGCGCTTTTCTGTACGAAAAAATAAAGAATTTGAGGAAAAATACATATAAAACATTCAAAGATACAAATTTAGTTTTAATAATCAAGTTTTTACGAACGCTGGCAAGCCTTGAAAAATGGCCTAATTTGGGAAATGCGTCTTTAGTAAGTGAAAAGTCTTTTTTTTTCTGTAATTTTTCATCTATTAATGTCGGAAATTGCCTTCTTAATTGTATTCAATACAAAAAATGATCGAAAATGGTCTAGTATGGCCAGCGAAGAAGGCGCAGTGCAAACCGGACGGGTCCCTGTAGGTCTGAACTGGTGTGCTCTCAAGGACCTTCGAGATGGATCAGAAAAGGTAAAAGGTATGCTGAAGGTCTCACGATGGACATATTACGGGGTCATCACGATCCATTTTGATGCCGTGTTCAATTTGATTCCGCGAAATGCAAAATGATCTCTGACTCTCCAAAATTTAGTGATCTTTTCCTTTCTCTAACGGGTATTTTGCATTTCGCGGAATCAAATTGAACACGGCATGAGATGTATTTTTGTGGCATCCAAAAGAGATTATCCACACCCAAGTTTACAACCGCATCCAAAATCCTGAAAAAATATCTTTAGATTCTACAAAAAAAATTTATGGGTTTTGTTTTTCGCTCGTCTCTTTTTGAATCATTTCTCCCCTGTATCTCTGAACCAGTTCATAGAGTATGAATTATTTCGTTAATGAATTATTGTGTAGAGGAAAAAACGATGCAAACCATTGCAAGAAAATCTGCGAATGGCTTATTAGGAGGGATTTCTTTCTCGAAATCGAAAAATAAGCGGGATTTTTTTTAATGGAACTTTCCAGAAAGCTTAGGAAATTAGTTCTCAATAAGATTCAAGCAAAAATAGCGGAAAAGAAACGAGGGGAAAGTAAGACCCATAAATTATATTTTAGAAACAAGGAATATTTTTCCAGGATTTTGGATGCATCGTCTCTTTTTTTTTTCGTGTCAGGACCCAATTTTTTTTTTTCGATGGTTGAAGCCAGCCGTTAATCAGCTATAATAACCTTTCAGCAGCAGCGTTGCTCTTCTATGTAACTTAATTTCTTACATAGGCAAAGTCGGAAGGGCCCTCCGAGGGTCCATAAAGGACTATAGAAATGTTCCTTTTAGGGTGATGAAGGCTCTCTTTTTGCTGCCCTTTTGCTCCATTTTCTCAGCCCTTATGCACCATTTTTGCTGCCTCTCCCTTTCTCCACCATTTCTCGAGCCTTTAAAATCCCAGAAAAATGGAAGGCTCGTTAAAGGGAGTTTCTTTGCTGCCTTTCGCTGCCTTTTTTCTGCCTTTCGCTGCCTTTTTTCTGCCGTTCGCTGCCTTTTTGCTGCCTTTCTGCGGCCTTTTTTGAGCCTCTCTCTTTTAGCAGCCATTATCCACCATTCCGACTTTGCCCGAGTAATTATTTCTCTCGAACGCTACAATTTTTCCAAATTAGAATACGTTTTGATTAATATTTCAGACAGTTTTTTTTGGAAGAAAAGGAAGCGGAAAAAGTTTTTTTTGTAGTAGGAGAAACTGACATATTGGGAAGATATTTGGCCGACGCCATACTTTTCGAGTCGGAAATTCCGACGCGACAATAACGACTGCTTGAGAGCACCAGAAGCTGCGCATTCTTGTAGTCGACCGGCGTCCCCGTCACATTCGCGTCCCATTTCTCGTAGTCGTAATTATCGTGCCCCTAGAATGCTTTTCTGTATCGGGCGTGTAACTAATACGTATAAACCGCGATCCTATGGGTTTCTACTACCATTTCGTTCTGTAAAGGTTTCATGGACTTTTCTCGGCAGACGAAAAGTTATTTTCAGGAACGAAAAATTTCTTTTATGAAAAATAACAAAAGGTCGGCGTGCAGAGTACAACTCCATTGATCAATTCAATATTGTAAACTAAAACGTTTTTGGCAAGTCTCTCATGCTTGTATTCAATCATGAGAGCACAAAAAAAGTCGCCGCGGCGTCCATTTTTTTCACTTTTTCGAGATGTTACCTTATTTGTTAGCAGCTGATATTGAAAGTTACGCAGTTACGTACAAAATAATTGAAAGCTTGTTGATTAAAGGAACGGAACTGTTATTTTTTTATTATATTATATTTTTATTATAGACTTTAAAATTCAAAAAAATACAACTGAGGAACCCATTCTTTCGCAAAATTTACGAACGAAAGCGACTTACAAGAACGCTGAACTTCTCAGAATCGATAGCATCGAACGTCACGAAGGGCGCATCGGAAAACTTCGTTTGAGGCTGCGCGGAGACTGAAAAAAGCCTTGTCTATTGGAAACGGACAAATCTAAAAAATGTGTATACTGCGACGCATAATTATAGACCCACCCTAATTTCTCCGATTTTAAGAAAGATTGAAAAACTTTCAGCCACCAAACTTTTTTTGTGATAAACCTTGTTGATAAGGAACATAATCATATCATAATTATCAATCACCCAGTTAAATAATTTTTCAAGATACGAGAAAGTCTGATTTTTGACCGACGCAGAATTATAGACCCACTATAAGTAATCAACAAAATTCTTTTCACAAAGTCAAAAAAGTATAACAAAAAAATTAATTAATTATGTGTGATGCCTCCTTGTTCCTGAGCGACTTCGAAAATCCTGTTCGGCATGCTGCCAACGAGTGATTGCAGCAGAGACTTGTCCAAACCATCCCACTCGGCACGAATCGCTCTTTTCAGATTGTTGACCGTTGTATACTGCTTGGCATTCGCGTAGACCCTTCGTACAAGGACTGACCATAAATTCTCTACAGGGTTGAGGTCGACTGCACGCGGGCGAGTCCAGAAGAACCACGTTATTGGCCGCAAATCAAGCCAATGTGGAGTTGCTCGCGTGAACAGATGCATTGTCTTGTTGGTAAATCATATTGGCACGTCGTCGGCGACGGAGATAGGGCAGGAGATGCTGGGCAAGCAGTTGCTGGTAGTCTTGCGAATTCGTTCTGGTCCCAATAAAAAAAAAGAGCTACCGTCCCGTTGCCGCAGAAAGCCGCCCAGACCATGAGGCTGCCGCCGCCGAAGTTTCTCTTGGAGAAGTACATCGGATCTTTCCTCAAATCTCTCTAGTAGTGAGCGTACCCATCTGGCCCATCAAGGTTGTATTTCTTCTCGTCGCTGAAGGTGATCTGAACAGAAAAATTGGGAATCATAAGGTGATAGAAAAAATAGATACCTTATTCCAATCCGTGGCCATGTTAGAGCGTGCAAACTGGAGCCGTTCATTCTTATGGCGTTGCTGTAGACGAGGTGCTGCCTTCATTGGAGTATTCACAAGTCGACCGGACCGATGAATTGTTCGTAGGATGGTGTCCTTCGAGACGTTTTCAGGAATTTTGGATCTGATTTGGTTGGCGGACTTCGTAGAGTTTGATGCTTTTCGACAGACGTCTCGTTCAGCTTGAACCGATAGAAGCCTGTGCTGTCCAGAATGTATTGCTGTGCCGTATTCTTGCGGATTCCTTGCATAACGGTCAATAGTTCGTCTTGAGCGACCCGTTTGACGAGCGATTTCCCGATACGACAAGCCGTTGTTGAGTAGAGCATCGGGCATATTACAGTATAGCCCCCCGCATATGTTGGATATCACCCCCCGCGACACGTTCGAACAAGCCCCCCACACTTATCCAATATAGCCCCCCGGAACTATCCAGTATAACCCCCCACACCGAAAAAAGGTCACGCAACGATCACGCAGGACACGTGTCAGAGCTTCCATTTTTTAATTTATTTTCTAATTTTTTCTTATCATTCGTCGTTCTTGGTTGTTTCAAATGGGTTTTTTTGTATTTTCGCATGTAAATTCGTGTTCTTTTTGTGAATTTAATAATTTTTGTGATTTGATTTGTAGATCATGGAAGAAATTAGGTCGCTGACCGAGTTTCATGAGAAGTTCAAGTCAGACAAAGAAGTTTACGGGTACGTCTCGGCGAGATACGTACGAATATCATAAAATTATGGGGCGCTGACCACTTAGAAAAATTTAAGATGAACTTTATTTGTTTTCAATCAAGTAATTGTTCTGAGGAATAGAATTTTTTGCTTTTTCTTTTCATGCACATTAATTAATAAATTACTTAGGAAAATAGGCTTAGTTTTAAGGCTTCACACGGAGGCGGAGCGCGCATAACGCGAAGCCGACTGTGGCTCGCTTCGAAAAAAAACTGAGCCACAGTGAAACAAATTCGTCAAAGAAATAAAATACTTGACATGGAGGGGGTCATTCTGAAATAGAGGGGGCCATTCTGAAATGGGAGGGGGCCATTCTGAAATGGAGGGGGGCCATTCTGAAATGGGAGGAGGGCTTGTTCGAATGAGCTCTGGGGGGACTATTTCAAAGCCGTGCGGGGGGCAAATATGAAAGATTGCCTAGGCATTTCAGAATCGCCCCCCGTTTTGTACTGCGGGGGGCCATTCTAGAATACATATTCAGGCCCCGCGTTCGATTCTTCCCCCCACATGAAGTCCTCTTATTTTACGCCCCGCAGATCGGAACTTGGCTTGGTGGGGGGCTTGTTGGAACGCGGGGGGCAAAAACAGTGTGGGGGGCGATTCTGGAATTTTCCCGAGTAGATTTAGGCATTATGGCTTATAGTGGTACACGAGGACTTTTTCTCTTATATACGACTGAAAAAAACAGGAAAAACGTGTTACCGGACACGGAAACTCGGAAAACTCTGGGGTTGGTCTATAATTCTGCGTCGGTCAAAAATCAGATTTTCTCGTATCTTGAGAAACTTTTCAACTGGGTGATTGATAGTTATGATATGGTTAGGTTTCTTATCGATAAGGTTAATCACAAAAAAATTTGGTGGCTGAAAGTTTTTTAATCTTCCTCAAAATCGGAAAAATTGGGGTGGGTCTATAATTATGCGTCGCAGTGTATTACAGTCCTGGAAATCTTACTAATTCTTATCTTGTGCTCGGCGGGGTAAAAATGAACCGCGCCATTTTGTGCGCAGTAATCTTTATTTGTGAAGTCGATAGGAACTCCATCTCGGAAGCTCGATGGGATAGGACAAATGAAGATTCTGTGAAGAAATAATCTCGCTAAAATACGACATCTTAACTGACCCTTGACAGCGCTCCACAGGCCAGACAGTGATTTTGAAGTCTCCAGTCGGTACAGGGAAAACAACAGCAAAGTGGTTACGACGCGTTCCGCTGAACATCTTCAGGTTACTCATATTCTTTCAAAACTTGATAAACGGCTGTAAATAAGCTAGTGCGATGTATGCCGACTACGAGTTCACGAATTTTGGCTAACTTCCCTTTTCCTGAGCTTATCTAAATAGAAAATAGAATGATATCTCTAAAAAAACGGCGAGGAGAATGATACCGTTTTTGTAAAATGATTTTTTTGTCAACTTTTTCTTTTAGAGAGAACTTTTCAGCGAAGAACCTTGTGATTACAGTCTGTTCAGATTTCCAATGTCAACTCTCATGCTGGCCAGGTGTCTCAATGGACTACTTGAGTGTCAGTTGTGCTGAAAGGAGGAAACCAAGGGTATAAAAATAAATAGGCGTCCATTTCGAAAATCTGACTCGAGGTGACATCCAAATATGCAAAAACGGTGCCTCAGTTGTGGCAAAAGAAACGGCAAAAGTTCTACCAGCTGTGTTTATACGGGTTCAAGACGGGTGCACCCGTTGAGAGCCCGTGTTAAAACGGCTGGTCTACTCTCATCAGCTTGAGAGAATTCGTCGATCAAGCTCCGCCCCTAATGACGCGATAAACCAATCAGAAAGCGAGCCAACCGCAGAGCATTATCGAATCATTCGATTCAAATGACAACATTGTACTTGACATCGAAATCTGAGCAGTCTATATATAGCTGATTCACGGCTAGCTTGGGACGGTAAGGGGGCGTGGCCTGTCTGCGAGCCAGGCACTATCTCACGCATTATCGTGTCAGGACCCTTTTTTCGATGGCTCAAGCCAGCCGTGAATCAGCTATATATATTCCTCGAGGCGTTTCTAGTTTGGAGTCTGCACTTGTTCAAGTGAAAAGAGGAAAGTATTACGTGGTTTGCGCGTATTCGATATGGCCCGATAGTTCTTGGAAGCTCTGTAAGCATCAATTTAACTAAGTTTCAATGTTGAAACACCTCGGGATATTTAAACATTGGAGACGCAGTAGTAGTCGGAGCAGGAGCCGGAGTCGGAGCCGGAGTCGGAGCCGGAGACGGAGCAGGAGCAGGAGACGGAGCAGGAGCAGGAGCAGGAGCAGGAGTAGGAGCAGGAGTAGGAGTAGGAGCAGGAGCAGGAGCCGGAGTCGGAGCCGAAGATTGCACACATGCCAAGTGCACAACGACGCCAAACTGAAGACTTCTGATATATAGCGAATCTTTAGGAGAAGGTAATCTCAACGCCAGTTCCCTTGTTTCCATTCATAACACAGGTATTGACACGAAAACTTCGAACACAAAAAAATGATCATGTAAAATAGACGCACAATCAGCAGAAGAGTGGAAAGTCGACGACGCATTCCCACAACTGCGAAAATAACTGCCTCCAACTCTCTTGTGACGTTCGCTTTTTTTATTATTGTTTTTTCAAAGATCAGATAACAAACTTCTTGTATTACTCGTTTATGACTCAATTCCAAGAATGAAATGAATTAGCTTTGGAAATAAAAGAAGAACAGCGTGAAAGTGGTAGGACATGGGCACTTTTTGGTCCAAAGTGAACCATAAATAATCATTCTGTTCAAATTTGGAGAACACAATCATGAGAGTTTCCAACCATCGTGAGCCGATAATCATCGTATAATAGTACTCTGTGGCCTACAGACTGTAGGACCCAATGTGAAGAAAAAAATCTTTTCACTACGGGAGACACGTAAAGTTGAAATCGTTTATCCGATTGAGTTCAACTTTCCGACGAAAATTAACGATTAGTAAATAAATAGTTGCGTACGAAATCGCTTTCAGCTTGTCACAAAAGTTTGAGATTCACACAGGCAAGAACGACCTTAAAAGGCCTTAAAAAGAAAAGCTGAAGCTCCTGTTTGAGTTTCTAAAAAGGTGTCAAAATTTTCTCGGAATCTCCTTTTTCATCTTCTTTCCACCTAATTTTTTGTACCTTCTTAAAAAGTCCATTTCAGAAAAAAGATCTAGAAAAAAGGCGCATTCGAGGCCTTTTTCCGAAAGACCTTTTGGACTTTCCCCGTGAGCGAACTTTCTTCAAATTGTTTCTGACTCGATTAGCGGAAAAGTCCGAAAAATAAAGGAGAACAAATTAATTTACGATTTTTTCATGACAAGCTAAATTTAGTACAAAAGTTTCGAATTTTTCTCAAAATATAATAACCAGGAAGAAAAAAAGAATACCCGAAAAAGTAACTGGCTGTAATAAAGGAAATATCTGTTTCTGAACAATCACTGAAATCAATTTTCCTTATTCAAAAACTTAAGTTTCGGTTGACGTTCTAGCTTTTAATTTTGAAAAATGACTTGCCTAATGAATCACCTAAAAAATAATTTTAAAAGTTAGGAATAGACCCGTCGTAATTAAGGAACGTCTTTCCATGTCGTGAGCAAAATTCAAGCACATCAGGGTGAACAGTAAAAAAAGAAGAGTTTTTGCGGTCCTTTTTGGTTTCGCTTCGGCGTTTTTTGATCAAAATGACACTTGTATGAGAAGCCTAGACTCTGCGAAAGTCGCCTTTGAAAATACGAGTGAGCGTTTTTTTGAACTGTTGGTTGGCCATTGCATAGCAGAAAGGATTGAGAGGGGAGTTCATGTAGCAAAGATAGTAGCTGATCGTGTAGAGCGAGTTGAAGGAAGACGAGGATTTGCACGAATCACAAAAGCCGTAGATGGTGGCCAGCACGTAGAACGGCGTCCAGAGGATGATGAAGGAGCCGAGGATAAAGGTGATGGTCCGCAGAGCCTTCCGGGCCCGATTCTCCGACCGCGACTTGTACTCCTGCAACAAACTCATGAGGATAAAAATGGTTTTGTAGGAGCACAAGGAATTGAACCATTTTCCGGGAGGGCCACAACTCAAAGCACAAAGACGCCAAGAACGCAGCAATCAGAAGAGAAAAAAGACTTTTTTTTTAAATGAAGCATTGCCTCAGTGAAAATTAGACGGAATGAGAGAAAAATAAGCAGAAAGATTAATTTGAACATTGGAAAAATTTAATTTTACCTTTTTCCGGCTAAATGGAATCAAAGCGTGGAAAATATTCTGAAAAAAAAACTTTTGAAAGAGGACTAGTTCCGCGGTGAACCTAACACAGTGAATTATTTTTCTGCCGCCATACTCGAAAAAATGTTTTTCTTTCAACGTTTTACAGCCTTATGATTCCAATTTTGAGACCTTTTTGCTGCGCGTATTCTTTCTCCGGACGCTTCTGCTACGCATGACCGTCAAAAGTCTCCGAACTTTCCCCTGGGTCGTCGTCTTCACACTCTCCACTCTGCTCACGGCGATCAGCGGCACCTGAATAATCGGAATTCCATTTTGATACAATCGACAAGAATCTCCACCTTGACTTCATTTTCGCTGTTCAACCCGTCCTTCGTTCCCTTTTCAAGTTCCACAACAGCCTGTATTTCGATAGATGTGGAAGGCTGAAAGATAATTGTTTCTAGCGAGAAAAAAAAGTTACCTACCGCTACAACGATATCCGAAACGCCGTTGGGGATATGCAGAACCTCGTCGCGGGTCGCTTCAAAGGGAACCTCCTCGATCGTCTCCTTGACGTCTAGCTGCGGCTCGGAGATCTCCTTGCTTCGAGATGAAGCAGTTCGTCGCAAGTCATCGTGTCCGACAAGCGAGCAGAGACTGTCCGAGTCGATGAAAGGGAACGACAGCTCTGGTCTGAACCTCTCAATTACTTTTTCAGCCATACTGGAACCCAGAGTTCACCAGTGGAATAACGTCGAACGAACCTACATAATTTTCACAGAGGCTTGAACTTTATTATCACTCGTATTGAAAAAGAAATGATTATGAGTACTTTCAAATCTTATTTTGATTAATTTTTGTTTTCGGCGCATTCAATGATAGGACTCCCAAAATTTACTTCAAGGCGCATTTTGCGCGCGCTCAAAACCAAATTTCCAGTTGTTCAACGAAAATCAAGAAGCTGTTAGTCGGATATACACTGCGACGCATAATTATAGACCCACGCTCACTACTAGAGAGATTTGAGGAAAGATCCGATGTACTTCTCCAAGAGAAACTTCGGCGGCGGCAGCCTCATGGTCTGGGCGGCTTTCTGCGGCAAAGGGACGGTAGCTCTTTTTTTTTATTGGGACCAGAACGAATTTGCAAGACTACCAGCAACTGCTTGCCCAGCATCTCCTGCCCTATCTCCGTCGCCGACGACGTGCCAATATGATTTACCAACAAGACAATGCATCTGTTCACGCGAGCAACTCCACATTGGCTTGATTTGCGGCCAATAACGTGGTTCTTCTGGACTCGCCCGCGTGCAGTCTTGACCTCAACCCTGTAGAGAATTTATGGTCAGTCCTTGTACGAAGGGTCTACGCGAATGCCAAGCAGTATACAACGGTCAACGATCTGAAAAGAGCGATTCGTGCCGAGTGGGATGGTTTGGACAAGTCTCTGCTGCAATCACTCGTTGGCAGCATGCCGAACAGGATTTTCGAAGTCGCTCAGGAACAAGGAGGCATCACACATAATTAATTAATTTTTTGTTATACTTTGTTGACTTTGTGAAAAAGAATTTTTGTTGATTACTTATAGTGGGTCTATAATTCTGCGTCGGTCAAAAATCAGACTTTCTCGTATCTTGAAAAATTATTCAACTGGGTGATTGATAATTATGATATGATTATGTTCCTTATCAACAAGGTTTATCACAAAAAAAGTTTGGTGGCTGAAAGTTTTTTTCAATCTTTCTTAAAAATCGGAGAAATTAGGTGGGTCTATAATTATGCGTCGCAGTATAAAAACTACAGAAGCGCAAGATTTTCAAAAACTTTCATTTCCTCTTTATTGAATATTAATAAACCTTTTATTTTTTTTTGCAGTAAACAACGCTCTGTCGCTGTGTTGCTTTTTTCATGAATCAATTTGAACTTTATTCTTATCAAGCTGGACAAAGTTCAACAGGAACTGTCAAAGGCATAAAAAAATATTTCAATTTTCATTCCTAAAGGCGCGCGAAAATGACTTACCCTGAATTACCTTTTCAAGGGCCTCTTTTCAAATCTCATTTTTGTTTAAAGGCATATGGGCAGTAAAAAATGGGGTTCCAGGTGAAAGCAGTATTTTATATAGTTTTTCTTTGCGAATCGAATGGTGTACTCAAAAAAATTACAGGTGTGACAACTTTAGAAGAAAAACGCGATTTTACTTTCCCGCCTTTAATTTTGAAAAAAGCTTTGGATCGGCCTACGGACAAATGTTTACAGTAGCCGTGCACGCGATGTTGCGGACGTCTCATTAGACTCGCATTTTGTGAGAAATAACCGGATATCTGCTTCAAATTAAGGGTTTCTTTTCTGAAAAATTGATTAAGAAAACAAAAAACACACACCGATAATAAAGAAAACACAAAATATTGCTATCCCCATCGAAACCTGTGTAAAATCATCATTTTTCACCAGAAAAGCTTTTTTGCAATCAAAGTTTGCAAATTATACATGAATAGAAAGCTTTTGTGACGAAAAGAACTTTGGTGAGAACAGAAAAAATTGAAAATTGAAAGAAACGAAGAAAAAAGCGAAAATCCGGAAGATGGCGAAGCGTGTTGTCCATAGAGCAACTTTACTGCAAAGCGCCCTTTTTGCGGGAACTCAAACTTTCCTCTCTCCGACTTTGAATTATTTTTTCTACAAAACTAGGAAGTTCGGTAAGTTTTTTAGCTCACCGTTCGATTCGCAAAGAAAATCTCTACAAAGTACTGCTTTGAACTGAAACACTGTTTTTTACTGCCCCTATGCCTTTAAGTTAAGAACTTTTCTTTTTACTTCTTAAAAGTTGATGTTAGATGGGATTTCGTAAAAAATGTTTGCAAATGAGAAGGAATTAACATGTTGACTTATTCTTCACCCGACGAGCTCAGAAAGAATTCACCTTCTTTTTTCAAAATATCCTTCACTATAACTTCTTTTTTTTTCCTAAACTGTATTTTTTTCAAAAGAACAAACTTGAAGGTACGATGAAGCGGAGGAAGAGCGAGGTCAAGGTCAGGTTCGGAAGTGTGCGAAGGCTCTGGCGAACAACAAGGAGCAGTGCTCTCCCTCTCGATGACTGAGGACGGTTCCTGGAGTCCAAACGCGTACTCGACTTCGCTGGCGCTCGAGGGCGAAGGCGTCGGCGGCTTCTCTTCCGACGTCACGTACGTCGGGTTGCTGCAAAACCTGCCAGTAGGGAGTGTAGCTTTTTGCTACTAGTTAAAGCGCAACTAATGCGAAAGAATTGATAAATGATTAAAAGTTATTCTGACAAAAACAACGAATAAATATTGATATTGATTGATGATGATTTATTCGCAGATCAGTGTGAACCACATCGAGATCACTGCGATCTACAATTTAAATAAAGAGAAAGAAATAAGAACATGGAGTACAAATTAAAAACAGCTAAGTCTTGAAGGAATACAGGTGAAAAATTCGTTACGAGATAAATCGACCAATAATCTTTTTTTGCTGATATTCTGTCTGAAACTTTTTCATCGCGTCTTAAAAACTTCCAATTCTCGCTTTGACCATGCTCAGAGTACTGAACGTAATGCATTAAATTACAGTGCGTTGCACCTAAAACTACATGTCAGACCAGAACGAGGCTCCAAGGCGAAAGTCGGTAGTAACTTCTTTTTGTTGAACTCTGGAAAACATCAGACAAAAGAAAATAATTTAACTTCGCGAGTTAGTATTTACTTGAAAACGGGCAGAACACTTTTTGGTTATTCAGTGTATTTTCTTCACTCGAAGTGGTAGCTCTCTCAATCGGCCGAGGCTGCCCTAGAGTGTGTACGGCTTCCGTGCCCGAGCCCCACCATCACCGCCGTGCCCGTACCCGCGAAACTGAGGGATCTACTTGTTGAAGAACGAGGCGAAGGACGGTGAGACTATGTTTTCAATTCAATCAACTACACGTTTTGACTTCTATTTCGCCAAAGGCGGTGTTAGTACCGCTCAAAAGAGCAATTTTTTCACCGCCTACTCTATTCCATCTGACTAAAACAACCAATAAATATTGATTGATTGATTATGAGATAAAGTTTCTGATAGTTATAACTTGCAAAAATCCCAGCTTTCCTGAAAGAAGAGCTCCAAGTCCGAGAATGGCTCATTTTGACAGACTTTGATGGCTCTCATAGTTTGTTCTCGTTTCTCGTTCTAAGACCTGTAATTTGCAAGGTGACGTGTATGATCGACACAGTTGTTGTGGAAGGTCATGTGATTGCGGAAAACGGCGTTGCTCGTTGCGGGCGGCTCAACCGGCGTGTGACCCGTCGTCGTCGTCGTCTGTGCTACACGAAAACATCTGCAATTCGACTTTTGAGATATCCACAATGTCTACGCATGTTAGGCGCAGACTTGTTCTGGGCCATTTGGGTTTAGGCTGAGTTGGTTTGATTCAAGTTTATCTACCATCTTGCTGCAATTTATTTTGCAGCAAGCCTAAAAAGAGAGCTCATCTCAGTGTTTAGTTTTTTTTTTTTTTTGAGAAATTTGCTCAAACACTGTCTTATAGTCTACATGGAGAGTCCTAGTCGTTATCCGGGCAAACTTTTATTTTTAGATTTATGAACTTTCAAAGTTTTGTATTATTGTCTGCGAACCTTTGTTCAGTGTAAAATGAGTTTAGGAAGTTCGAAACCTCAAAAATGTATAATAATTCCGAAAACTGCAAAGTAAAACTTATCATGAGTTATTTACATAAAACTCCAACCCTTAGACTAAAAAAACCCGCTTTGGTAGTGCTTTTTTTCTCTGCGTTTCTTTTTTTTCTAGGCTATTGAAAAAACCTTTTCAAACCAGAGCGAAATAAAATTAAAAACAGTTGTTTTATTTCCTATCATTCATTGAACCGTATAAAATGGAGCCACAAACAAGTTGGCGAAAACTGACTTAGGCTCAAGTTTTCATTGGACGCAATTGATTCTGTTTATTCAAATGATGTTAAACGAGCGTATTCGAATGACGAAAAGACAATAGAAATCGATACGATTTGAGTTTTGCCTTTTTTTTTGAACTACACTGAACTGGAATAAAAAAAAGTATCACGAAATCCCTAGGCTCTTCGGAAATTCGAGAAATTTTCCTTAACCATTCATGCAAAAGGAGATGCAAACTTGAGTGGCGCACTTTTGGAAAGGAGCGTCGAATTTCAAAAAAAGAAAATTTTCGTTTCACATTTGCATAATTGTACGAGAGTGTGTGTCCGCGTGTGTGTGTGCGCGTTTGTGTGAAAATTGGATTTCTTCGCGTTTGGAAAGAGTTGGAAATTAAATGATATCCGAGACAGTTTACCCGCATAAATGGAATGAAAAATCTGTGCTGGGTTTTGAAGGCGCGAAAGTCTTGCGGGGACAAAATAAAACCGAAAAGAATGGTTCGTCGAAACCATTACAAAATTATGCTGCTTTCTGAAGAGTCAAGAGGTCCAGGGCTTTAATAGATTATTGAAAAATCGTTACGGAGTCCCATTAAGTGGCCTCAAACAAAAAAAAAACATTCTAAAAAATCCATCTATTTGATCCCAGTTTTCAGCACTTCATGTGGGATCGATTTGCAACTCTAGAGGCGCTCTGAGATTCGAAACATCGAATTTTTCTCTTGCGTTATTTTTTCCGCAGATTTCCCAAGCGGCGATGGGGTGAATCGTTGGTTTCTTTTTGAGGAGTCCAAATCTTGTTAACAACGCCTTTCGTCAGAAATATGCATGCGTCGATGTTCTAGACTAGATGTCCGAGACACTCCGAAAACAGTTGGATTCGTCTAATTTTCAAAAAATAACCTCACAGTGAAAAATCTTCACTCGAATAGGTCACTCTCCTTTCGAGTCTTCCACTCAGAGCATGGTTTTCGGGCTCCAACTACAACATCTTCTTCATTCTGAGCCGCTGGATGAACTACGCGCAGAAGAACATGGCGGAAAATCGTGAGAGTATGCGTTCGATTTGATCAACTACACGTTTAGCCTTCTAGTTCCGTCAAGGTTCTTGTTCGATTGAGTTTAAAAGTTCTTGCTCACCGCCTAGTTCAGTAATCTAGGACTGAAACGAAGAATGATTGAATGATTGAGTATCGAGAGAAAAATAATCTTACTTGCTACTGTTGGAAGTGTCGTTGGGCGAGTCTGAGCTGCTGTTTCCGGCGTCGCTGGTCCGAACGCTCAACTCTGGCTTGCGCATTTCCGTCAGAAGAGCCAGTCGCTTTGTTTTCTGCAACAACAACTTTTTTCTTGGTTTAAAACCCAAAAAAAAACGCGTGCAAATGGAAACTATGAGAAAATATCATCTGAACCTTCTAATTTTGATTGAGAAGATTTTTGAAAAATCCCAAAATTTATAAAATAATCCACCTTACTAACCAACTACTGTTATATCAACAGTCTTCTTCTTCTTCTTACGGCTTTATACCGCTTGAGCGGCGTCGGCGCCCCAAGTCGATTAGCCGAGGTCCTATCCTGATATCAGTGGACTGGCTCCAGTGACATATTCGTCCTTGTGTGTGACGGCTGGGGATTATGAAGTCGTGGTTTCCAACTACCAACATTTCTTAAAGCCCTTGGTTGGGTCGGGGCGGGGATCGAACTTGTGACCCTGTGGACCGTAGGCAGGCACACAACCTGTTGCGCTACGGCGCGCCCACTGTTATATCAACAGTGATAACTTATAATTAGGCAAAATCAAAACTAGGCTATTATCAATCTCCAAGTTTTAAACGCAAATGTTTAGCTTATCACTTAAACTATTTCAACAAAAAAAAAATCTATAAGAAATGTGTACTGAGTCGTGACACGGTTCTAGATAGAAATATTAATCCATTGTGTTTATTGCACGATTTTTTCAAAGTACGATGTTTTGAGAAAAAAAAGGAACTTGGCGAATCTAATTGAGAAAGATTACTTTTTTGGTTCCGAATAACCTCTTTGAAGGGCAATCGAAGATGCAACAAAAATCTGTGGAAAAAATTCATTCCCTTAATCTTATGGGAGGTCATTTTATCTTTTGATTAGGATATTCCTGGAAACGGCCAAAATACTTCCTGAAGTACCAGAGAAGAGTTCTCAGAATCTCAATTTGCACAAACCCTACTTTTCATGAAAAGACAACTCAAAGTCGAAGAAACTCATCAAAAATCTATAGAACGGTTAATTTCTGAATTTTCAGGTTCTATTTACTTGAAATCGGAAGTTTTGAAGGTTCAGACTTAGGACCTTCATCTGGTATATCGAGGAGTAATCTGGTCCAATTTCTATGGGTTCTCAAACTCAAAAAGAAATGGCCTTCCTTGCGAAAGCTCTATGCAAAAAAAAAAGAACCTGGTCGCTTTTTAGGGCGAGTTTTTTCGCCGCTCGATATATCCCCCAATAAAGGTAGAGCATGACGAACAAGGTAGTCCAGTAGTAGGAGATGTACATTCCCATGTTGAGGTAGGGGTTGGTCATGAATTGCACGTAGCACTCCTGCTCCTCAAGTATCCGGCCCGTACCTGTCCAAATCTCACGTTTCAAGATGTCCTGATCATGTCCAAAACCGTTCTTGCTTTGAATCACATGATCATGAAAATAACCTCTAGAAAGCAATTTGAATCTCACCGGTGAAAGTTCCATAGCCGAAGATTGATACGGAGAATAGAATGCTGGGAATCTGAAATAAAGTTTTTGCGACTTTGAACCGTTCAAAAATTGAGCTAGGAAGACAAATTTGAAGAAAATGAAATTTATCGACGCTGAATGTATGGAAAAAAAGTCAACGAGAACAAAAGTTTCCGGAAGCAGTAATTTTTTTCTCTGGAGAATATCTGCAATAGTACAACTTAACAGGCTTATCTCCTATTCGAAAAAGTGAAAAAAAAACTTAATTTAAATTTTGTCAAACTATTGCCTACTTTGAAAAAAAAATGCGTCTTTCATGATGATGATGATGTCCAAAAAAGACGCAAAACTCTAGCATCGGAATTATTTTCATTGAAGTTTTGGCTCATCAAGACGCGTATTTAGCGCATTTTCAACGTTCAATGTGTGTTTCGTCGGCGAAAAGAACGAACCAATTCAAATAATTACTCCCGCCGTTTTCATAGTGGTCTCGTCAAACTTTTCCCGCCGATTGCCTTCAAAATGCGCGATGGTGCAAAAGGAAAACATTCTTCCCCGAAGATGAAAACTTGACTTTTTTTTCCTTGGAAAAGTGGTTCTCTTTCAGAGCAGAGTTCAAAAATGAACTATTTCGTTTGAATGATGTTTTTTTCATTAAATTAAAAAAATTTTGGTTTTCAAAAAGTAACACACGTCTTTATTAGTTTTTAGGGTCCTGCACGGAAATGTTGATAAATTCCAATTCAAATCTTCATGAATTGAGTTCATTAGTGGAGAAACAAAAAAATAAATTTATAAATCACAATTATGTACACTGGTTTTTCATGAAAGTTAAACATAAGGAAAAGCATCCAACTTTTTTTATAACTTTTTGAAATTAAAAACTTGTTTGAAAGAATAAGTAAACTGACGAGCCAAACAAAGATGATGATGAGAACGACTCGACCGTGAGTCCTCCAATTCCGGTATGCTGCGGGTCTTTTCACGGAACAGTACCTTAACTGATATTTTCTCGCAACCATTTGCTTTGGAAAAAAAATAAAAATAAAAAAGAGATTTTCAGTTCGATGTTTAGAATAGCTGTTCTCTATTTCATCAATCAAAAACTCGTCTGAGGCTTGTCAACGAAAGCTTTCAGCTTGCTGCTATCAAATAAATGTAATTTATCATTTTTCGAGACAATATTTGAGATTAACCTGTCGACGGTGATGCCGAGAACGGTGTATATGGAAGCAAGACAGACAATATAGTCAATGGAGAGCCAGAGATCGCAGAGAAAAGCGCCCCATCGCCACTGCTGGTCGTTGAGATACAGAGCCGTGTACACCGGGATGCCTTCCAATCCAATCAACTGCAATATTTTCATTCATTTCTTTTTTCCTTGCCTTTCAAGACTGGCTACACATTTTTAAAGTCAAATCCGTCGGGGAAATCGTCCTCCTGTGACTATCCGATTTTCAGGACAAATACCTCTTCAGTCATCAGGACTAGGGTCCGCAAGCCATTTCTTCAAAACGATCCAAAAAATATGTTTTTTACTTTGTTCGATAGAGGAGACTGTCCATTTTCATAATCCGTTCAGTTTTTAGAAAAAAAGCTCCACTAAGAAAAAAAAGTTATGGCCAAAAAACTAGCGCGCGCGGCGTTCAACTGGAGGCAAAATCTCACGGTTTACCCGCTGCCGCACGCTTTCTTTTTAAATGTTTTTTTGCGCGTTTCTGAACCGTTTTTCGAATCGGTTTTCTGTTCTGAAAGGTTGTCAGAATTGAGCTTCATGTTTTGGTATGAATCTTTTGTACAATCCTCATAAGAATTTTTTTGATAAAATATCAAAAAAACTAATTAGAAAAAAAGGTCAGAAGGAGTTTTTCACCTTATTTTTTTCTTTTTTTCTAATCAGAAAAAAATTATTATCATTTGGTTTGGAAAAAAAGAAAAAAATGAAAAAAATAATGTTATTTCGAAATAAAACAGGAAAAATGTGCAATTTGACTCCGAAAAAAACGGCTCCTGCGACATTTAAAAATGGCGTATCGGTGTGTTTGACGCAAACACAGCTACGAACGCTTGCACGAATTCTTCCAAAAATTTCAAAAAAATTGCCATTTTTTTCGAGGTTTTTCAAAGCCGTTATTTTTTTCGCGTCGTTTGATTTTTTTCATAATTTTTTTCCATTGATAGAGTTTTTGAACGCTTAATAACATAATCAAAAAAATATAGACGCGATCCTATTCTCTCATGCGTCAACGAGGCAGGCGAAAAAAAGGAGGTTTTGGTAAAATTCAAATATAATTTGATTCGCTGTCCCAATAATTATTTTTCATTTTTGAATTTTCTGTTTGTGAGCACATTGTGAGTTTTTTTAAATCAAATAAAAAAAGTATACCATGTCGCTGAAAAATTTTTTTCGCATTTCAGCTTCAAAGTTTGGTGTCACTTTACAAGCTTCGATTTTTTTCGCGTCGTTAGATTTTTTTAAATTTTTCATTCAAAAAAATGAAGAAAGTGTTAATGTATAACATACTCAAAAATTCGGAAGCGTTCCTCACTTGGTTTTCAGAAACGCGACGATTTTTGTGAAACTTGTCAGTTTTTTTCGTGTTAAATCTTACTTTTTTTCGCTGATTTTTTTGAAAAAAATACATAGTTTAAAAAGTTTTTTTCAGTCTTGTAGAGCGTTGTCGATTACATAGATTAACAGAAACAGTTTATTTTTTTAAAGTTGAACTTTAGCTAGTATAAACGCCTCAAAAACCGTTTTTTTGCAACAAAAAAATCGTCATTTTGGTGGCGTGAAGGGGCGGGGGCTTTGCGCCCCCTAATCAGGACCATTAAATTTTTTTCTTTTTAAGTTTTTTTAAATTACGATTTTTAAATGTTCATAATAACCACGAAAGAGTTTCTTGTAGAATTTTTCATATGAAAGAGATAGAACTGGAAAACCACTATTCCATTCCGTTTTTTTTTTGAAGATTAGTGAACCATGTGGCTTTCAGCTCTTCTTCTTAATCTTCCATATAACACAAGCTATTTCGTTGAAAGCTAGTCTTCAGTAAAGCTAATTTTCACCCCTGCGATTATTCACATTTTTGGAACAATTGCGAACGCTCGGACCACGAACGAAGCCGATGGAGACGGCGTAAAGAAAAAAAAAAGCTCGAGTCATCTGTCACCCGGCCACTCGTGGATTAGAAGCATCGCCGACGACTTGCCTCAGCTTCTTTTCTGCGCACTTTTTGCCGGCTCGTCTGACCGCATATATTTTTCAAATTCAATAAAAGATAAAAAACAAAACAAAACAAAAACTTCTCCTTTGTGATTATTTTCAACAAAGTTCAGGATTTAATGCTACAATTGGTATTCATCGTCAGAAATCTTTTTTGATGTCCCTTTCGATTATGTGATCAAACAAATCGTATTTTTCGCTCATGTAACCAGTTAATCGCTGAGAAAAGATAATAAACATAAAAAGCTGGACTGTTCGGAGATCTTGATGAAGCTTATCAAATGCAAAGACTTGCAGTCGTAATAGCCGCCAAGATTGGATATTTGCAACAAAAGAAAAACCTAAATGAAGTTTTGCTATATCATCCCTGACTAAAGCATCCTCAGCCTTTCTTCTCAATTTACTAAGGGAAAACTATCCATAAAAGCCGACGACTCCCTTTAATAACCCTGTAAACGTTTCGAATTCGGCTGGTAGCCGAAAAGAGTAAAAATTGCTGAGAAGAGCAGTTTAAAGGATGCTTCCGCAGGCGTGGCAAAGACGAAGACGTCAACAGGCAGATAACCGCATCAATTACGGAGAAGTCCCCAGGGAGATGCGGAGGACCTCTGCGCAGTCGGAGCAAAGCCGCCGAAGAAACGCGAAATCAGTGGGGAAGACGGAGACTACGCAAACGCGTTCCAAACGCAACCAATCATCTCAGTATGCATCTCCCCCAAAATCATGCTTCTGCCGCACGTGAACAAGTGTGCACGAACTTGGATTCTCTCTTCGACAACGAGTTCTTCGATAACTTAATAAAAATCCATACTCAGAACTACAAAAAATCCTTGAGTAGATATCAGTTTTCAGTTGGCCACATAAAGGGACCTTTGAAAACTTTCAAACCAACAGTAACTTGAAATTAACATTTTAGAAATTCTTTCTGTTAAAATTAACTAAACATTGCTGAAAGTCTAAAGGAAAGGGCCGGTGTGAGACAAATGATGCGATCTTACTAACTTCTTACGTTTATCTTCGATGAAAATCAAATTGATGGCTTATAAACCTAGATATTTTTTTGCAATTCCAAGATAGATTGACTTCTATTTAATCTCTTAATTTTTTTAAATATATATTATCAACTTTTTTTTTTAAAGATTCCATCACCGTCTTCGATATTTCCAAACGATTTTCAGTCGTTGGAAAATATAAAAAGCTTCTAACTTTCTGTACACTTGCGTCTGAACGAAGAAGAACGGGCTCGCAGATCGCAAAACCATCCCATCAAAGCTTTTGACGGCATCGTGGCTCAAGTCCAGTTACCTTGTTGTATTGTGTGGGAAAAAAAACTTTAAAAAAAGTGTTTCTCGCCCCTCGGATTGTAACATTCGCTGACCGTTGGAGACAACATGTGGGGCTGGTGGGAACACCCTGCGGACCACATGCGCAAAAGTTCAGAGGCTGGCGCGAAATTCATTTTCCGGTTAGGGGAAACCTCTGACGTCCTGCCGCACTCGAAGCACCTAGACTCTGCGCAGCCAGTCTACTGGCGCATAAGTAATAAGAAGCAATTTTTCACCAAGTTTCAGATATATCAAGCGCCGTTTCTCATCCTCTCTGGTCGTGGGATCGAGATGCCAAGTGTGAAAGCTTATGATAAATGCTCTTCTGTTCAACCACTTGTTCTTTGATGTTTCTCAGCCTACCGGTTTCTCTTCAAAAGCTCTTTTCTGTGGACCAACTCAGTTCAACTGAAGTCTCCAAAATTACAGCATACTAACATCAAAATATCTTCTTTTAATAGAATGAAAAATAAAATAGAAAATTATTCAAGACACCGTTGATATATTGAATTGAAATATATTTTTAGGACATACTGACTGAAACCACGAAATTTTTTTCACAATATTTTCGTCTCTTATTTGTACTATATTAACCGTTTCTTTCTTACTATCTCGTCAAATGAGCGAGCTTTCGTTTTCTGAAATTTTGAGAAATTTGTCTGTTGCAAGGGCAAGATCAATTGAAAGCATATTCTAATAGTTTTTGAAGAATTTTGACTCAAGCTTAGCAAAATTGTAGGCGCGCATTGCGCTTTGCAGAGTTTCTTCCGTCCACGCCCGTTGCTCCGAATATAATAAGTGTCAAAAGCATTTGGTGAGTAGTCCATACAAAGTTCTGATTCTGAGCAGGAACAAAATTCCACATAAACTCCTAGACTTAATTGATGTTATTGATAAATTCAAGTTTGAGACAAAAATGAAAATTTTGAGGTCCAAACTGACCTTTAACTTGATAACCATTATTGTTATTTTTTTTAATAAAAAGAACAGTATTGATAATTTACCTTGCAAATAAAAAAGTTAACAAACGAATTTTCGTCAAATTATAATTGTCTAACACTTAATATCAACAAAAAAAGTGTAAATTAATTTCAATAACGGTCTTAAAAAAATTTTTCAAATTTTTTCCCTACATCTCAAAAAAATAATATTAGGTAATCAAGATTTTTTTATGTCTTTCAAGTTTGGCGCTCAGGCCAAATCCAAAAAGCTAGTCAATCCCGCCCAGGAAACAATAAAAAGAGCTGCTCATCTTGTTCAAGAGCCCTGCACATATAGATGCGGACTTAAAGGGACCTTGTTGGAAAGACGCATACTCTCGACGGCTCTGCTAAACGCATCCCGCGGCAAAAGTCTGAAATTAGGTTTCCTGCGAGCAAATAGACCTCTCCGGCCGTGCCAGAGTTATCGTTCAACATTTTTGGATTTATGGATCAGGAAAATCGAGTTTGCCTTCACTCCAAGTTCTTTTCACGCCGCAACTTTCCACTACATAGGTTTCATACCAAAAAAAAAATGAGACACCAATGCTACATGGAAGTTCTGATCCGTAATATTTGAAAATCGTCAGATTTTATCGACTTCGTAAGTGCTAAAAAAGCAGTAAAACAAATCAGATTTCCAAATTGTAACGCGAAGCGTCCCTTGGAAAAACTTATCAAATTTGTCTCACACTAATTTCACTGGAAAAATGATTGGGACTAGCGAAAGGTGAGGTCGAAAACAAACAAAAAAACTAATTCAACGCGCTTTTGAGCGTCATTAGCGGGCAAAAGTTCCAAATTAGTTTCGTCCCGCACTGAAAGCGTTGAAAAGAAAAAGAAGTTTTGAGTTACCAGAATTTTTTCGTCACTTACGTAGAAAAAGCCACTTTATTTTAAAAAAAAATTTCAAATTAATCTCACACACTATGAGAGTATGTAGATTTTTGAAATTGATATCTGAAAAGACGCCCTTCAAAAATTTTTCAAAGACGGGCTAATATTTGAACATGTGAAAATTCCTACAATTCCAAGAAAACTAATCCGTTTCACCAAGAGGAAAATATCCGCTCCGAAGTGTGATCGCATCATAAAATTAAGAGCTTTTTCTAATTGATTTCCACCTTTCCGCAATTTGAATTGATATGTATAGTCAAAGTCAAATATACAATTTGGCAAACGCGTGAAATACTTTTCAAAATCTTATTTAGTATCAAAAAATTCCGTTAAAATCCAGTCCATGTACTGTACTGTAGAAACCGAAACCATTCCAGAAAAAAAAAAATGAAAAATTTGGTCAATTGTATCAAGCTCACTCGCGAGAGCCCACTGAACCTTCAAACATCGGCTTCAGATAGCCGCGAGCCGACTAAACGTGCAGTTTGAGATCAAAATTGAGAAACCCCGCCACCCAAGAAAAGAGTGTGTGCTCGCCGCACGCATTTTTATGGAGGTCATTAAAAAAAGTTGAGATGATGTCGTGAAATTCATGCGAAATTGTGCACGTGCCTGTGAGCATGCGGCCCACTTACTGAGTTCACTTCAAGCGCAATTGTGCGTATACCCTTCCTTCTTGGTCTTCATGTTTTTGGCAGAGGCGGCCACAGTCGGCGTCGCCAGCCACTGCAAACCCTAGAACAGCAGCTCGAGGCTCTCGCGAAAGAGACCAAAAAATGAACAGAAAAGGAAGAAGAATAAGGCTCTCAAACGCCTCTTAAAAGCCGTACTTGGACAACCCTTGAACAGATTCATGACTGTTTTTTTTTCCGAAAATATGAATGAATGAATGCGGTGGAATATGTCCAACTCATGCTGGATAACTACGGGGCAAAACACAATTAAAGCTCCCTTGTTTGTCTAATTGCCCTAGTAAGCGATTCACTCAAGATCTTTGCCCATTTACGAGCTCCCGTTTCTTTTCAGTACTCTGTAGATCGAAATCGATTTCTTTTCAGCATACGAATTTCTCATTCTGCACGTATATGCAATGAAAAATTAATTTGTTAACTTTTGATGAAAAAATTCACATTAAAAAGTGACTATTGTAAAAAAAAAAATCATTTTCAATCCTCGTAAAATCCAAAATTCCTTTGAAACGAATGTGTAAAGCTACCGAAGATAGCTCATGATAAAAAATTACTATAAAACTTCAATCGATATCATTGAAGCGATTAAGGAACCAAAAAATTGAAGAAAAAGAAGGACGATGACGATAAATAAAGGATGAAAACGATGCAAACATTCACAATTATCATGTTTTTGAACACATATTTTTTTAAAATTTACACTAAACCACGGAGAAACAGAAAAAGTAAAGGAAAAAAAACGATTATTTGAAAATAATATTATTTGGATTATATCCCTCTCATCCTTTGCAACTTTTTTCGTTAATCCGTTGCTTAAAAAATCAGAGAACAATTGAATTTCTACTAAATCGCACCGCTAAACTTTTTCGAGGTTTTCAACTACCGTTAATGAAATTTACTGGAGCGAGAGAAAAAAAACTAACCAAGTCAGATACGGCGAGAGAAAAGATGAAGTAGTTGGAGGGCTGGCGGATGTTCTTGTCGAGGTAGTAGGAAAGAAGAACGGCGACGTTGCCGACGACGGTCACCACCGAGAGCAGACTCATGAACAGGCCGAGGAGCACGCTGCCCGGCTCCGGCATTCTCCATCAGCGCCTGGAAGCCTCGACCGACGTCCGTCTCGACGTGGCTCGCATGACTCTTCCCTCCGTTCCGAGCCGTTTGTCGTCTAAAATGATAGCATACACAACAGTTTCAGCAAAAACAAAAAAAAATGCTGGGCATGGAATATTTTTCAAGTTTCGAAAAAGATTCAGTCCTCGTTTTTACATCTTTGAAGTATACAAGAAAAAAAAACAAATTAAACATTTGCTCGCTATGAAACGCCGCATCTGGACGTTTCGAATCCCGACGCCCGTGGTTATCAGAAGGAAAAAGAGAAAAAATGTCAGCGGTCACCACAGACAATAGAAAACCTTTTACCTGAAGGCAATTAGAAAGGACGACTTTTTCTTTTTCCTGTCCACAAGTTTATAATATTCGACTATGTCTCTGAATGAACACGAATTTTATTTTTTTACAACTCTCAATCGAGGAAAACCAATAGAAATTGTTTTTTACTGAAAAAAAATCATAAGTGGTAGATTTTTTTTTCCTGCGTTTACAAACGTAGAAAAAATAAATGAAAACGCAAAGAAGATATAATTCTATCACTTTTTGTTTTTTAACTCAGTTCAATATAATGAAAAAGACAATAGGTCGTCTAGCATGAATATTTTGTGAGATTCGGAAACTCCAGGCTGCTCCTGTTGCTACACCTCTCGTTATGACGAAAAAAAAACCAATTAAGAAGCATCTAAAAATTCAAGAGCTTTATGCTTGGTTAATAATTATTTTTTTCGAGATTTTTTAAAGATTTAAAAACTGCTTATAGTGGATGTAAAATAAAATTCATCGCGACTTCAGATGTGCCGTTGACCATTAAGATCTCAGGACTCTCCGTCAATGGAGACATTTATCCGAATATAAAATTCGCATTTCGAGAAAAAAAAAGGTCTGAAAAGCTGCGAAGGCCTACTTGGTTCCTAGTGGAACGCACATCAAGCGTGGAATTTTGCTAGTTCCTACTTCTGCCAATACCGAAAAGATTTCACAAAAAACTTCTCATTCTTGTTGAGAACACACCCAACATAATTGCCGATATCGCAGCGGGCCGCAGGCGATATAGCCAAGGCTTCTTGCTGCGATATCGTCAACATGTCGCTGCGACCTCGTCAAAGTCTCGCTGCCATATCGCTCCCTCTCAAAATTTTGAAATTCAAAAAACATTTTTTTGCTTTATTTTTGACTTTTATAATGGAATGGATCAAATTAAAGAAAAAACAATTTTTGAAGAAAATTTTTCAGAGAGCGATATAGCGCAAAACGTTTGTTAAGGTCGCAGCGAGAGGCGAGCGATATTGCTCGCGGCGCGGTATAGCCTTACTATCGCTGCGATATAGTCCATAATATTGGGTGCAGGAGTGAAGTATAAAAGATCCAAGACAACGTTTCAAAGCGGCAAGGAAAAACAGAGTGGAGAGATGAAAAAATCATCGGAAATTGAGGTGAAATTTCAGAATAATACTTTGACAGTTTAACTTCAAACCAAGATGGAAATCAAGGGGAGCGGCGGACGGATGCCGGCGCGCAAAACTTCTATTCGGCTTGGCTCCGCCCACCTCCAGCTTATTACAAGCCTCGCAAAGCCACGCCTTTTTTCGCTCTTTTCTCCGATTGAAGAGTTTGGAAATAATTCTGCGTTGCTTTGAATGAATGTTTATTTCGCTCACAGACAGATCTGTGGCGTGGAGGAAGAGAACCATGAAAGTTATATTTGCCTCCACTTCGATAAAGTTCCACTTTAATCTAAAAAAATATTTTAGGTCGAAATCGAAGAGAATCAAAAAAAGAAAAAGTAATCTATAAACGAGTTGAATCATTTTTGTGAAATTTGCAGCTTCCTTTATCAAAAAAACCAATTTTTTTCAAACAACTTTTAAATCTTCTTTGGTCATCCTCAAAAACCATAACTCTGTTTAAGCCGTTCCAGTATTTATACACGCGTTGCGTAATAAAGTTATAGTGAACATGATGGATTGGTGGTGGTTCGAGTTTAAGGCCGTTGCCTCTCAGTTGATTTCGTCTATTTGATATCGTTTGTAATTTGAATGGAGATGGACACCAATAATAGCCATATATGAACTGATGTGTAATTATGATATCTTTTTCGCAGACGCCTTGTCCATAGAGTGTCTAGAGAAAGGGATTTTTAGTCTTACAGCATAGGTTTCTTTTTGGGAGAAGCCGTTTGGTGAATTTTTCTTTGAACCGATTCTAGCCTGTTTATGTCAGATTGGGTTAGTGGAGAGAAAAGCTCCGATCCATACTCTAAAATTGGTAGAATTTTGGCTTTATAACAGTTCATAAAGTTTTTAACGGAAAAAGTGAAGCAACGGAAAAGATTATTGATTATTTTCCAAATGCAACTTCGATTCGATCAATCTTTCTCTTTCTTCGCTTAACTGGGATCGTCAATTCAGTTTTTTTTCTACAGTTGAATCTAAATTTCAGCATTTTCTTCGTATATTTAATGAATTGATTCGCGACAATTGTCCTTTCACCTCACTTTCTCACCGTTCCTCTTTTTAATTTCAAATCTGACCGTCTAATTCGTCGCTTACTTCAAAAAAAGCCTCTCTAATCAATAACGGTCTTCATTCCACTCACCTCCGGCAAAAAGTTCAATCTCACTGTAAAAACTTATTCGTAAAAAGAACTGCTTTTTTTATTAAGGAAATTCCATACCAAAGTTGCTCTATCCTACAACTCCTCTAAACTTTCCAAATTTATTTCAAGACAGCTTAAGATCGATTCTGGGATCCCCAATCTGCTTTTTCAATGATAATTATATAATTGATGATGAATCAAAGGCCGATGTCTTCTCATCTGTGTTCTATTTCCAATTTCTCTAACACTAACCCTCAACCTTTCCCAGCTCTTCCCTCACCTGAACCTATTAACTGTAGTATATTTTTTTCTCCCCCGATGTTGTTTATAAATTTCTTGACTCTCTACCTCCGAAATGTGGATTTTTCCACTGATAATATTAACTTTCTTGTTCTTAAAAAGATGTGCTAGATCTTTAAGCCTTCCCCTGTCTCTCCTATTTAATGAATCCTATTTAACTGGTGTTATCCCCTCTTCTCTAAAAACACACTACGGTCATACCTGTACATAAAAAAAGGCAGTTTGTCTGACCCTTCCAATTTCCGTCCGATCTCTCTCACTCATCCTATATCACGTGTATTGGAACGTATTATCGCCCATATGGTTAGAAATCGATTCGCTCATAAATTCTCTCGATTTCAATATGGATTTTTTAAACCGTAGATCTTGCAAACTCTCTCTCATCTCTTCTATATCCGACATAAAAAAAGTCCTTGGCCTCCAATCTAAATGTCGATGTTATTTACTTTGATTTCAGCAAAGCTTTTTGATAGAGTAGATCACAATTTGCTACGTCTTAAAATGCTAAACTTTGGTTTTGATAATACTCTGAGCCGTTGGTTCTCTAATTTTTTTATCTCACAGAAGTTCAATTGTTAAGGTCAACAAGTCTTTTTGCCAACAATTGCTTTTCCCAACCCTTCCGGTGTCCTCCAAGGCACTGTCAGCGGCCCTCTCCTCTTCCTCATTTTTCATCAACGATATCGAAAAATTACATTGATTCCTCTACCTCTATCTCAATTTTTGCGGATGATATTAAAATCTATAGCTCCTGTCCCAGATCTCTCCAATCAAGCATTAACGGTATCCTTGAATGGTCTCATATTTGGTCTCTCCCACTCGCCTCAAACAAAAACGTTCTCTGTTCACTTTTGGCCCAAATAATCCTCGCACCCTTTACTATGTTGACCTCCTTGAAGTTCCTCAAAGCTCAATAGTACGTGACCTTGGTTTATTTATCGATGACAAGCTTTCCTTTAAACAACACATCAGCCGTATTGCTGCTTTTGCCACCTTACGTTCTAATCAAATACTGAATACCTTCAAGTTCTCTTCACCTTTTAACTACTTCCGTATGTTTCAAACCTACGTTAATCCAGTCCTTGAATATTGCTCCGAGCTTTTTCTCACCCGCCATTTCCTCTGAGGAATCTCACAAACTTGAATCTTCACTGCGTCTTTTTTTAGTCGGAAAGTTTTTCATTCGTTGTAATGTTAGTTTCACTTCTTACTCAGATCGCCTTAGTCAATTTAACATCAAACCGTTATTCATTCGTCGTGAAATTTGTGACATTATCACCTTGCATAAAATCATCTGTGGCTCTGATCATTTTCTCGATCGCAATAAGTATTTCACTCAATCCCTGTTACAGAGAAATCCACTTCGACTACGGACTACTGGTCAGTTTTCTAATGACTTTTTTTCTAGAACTATTCCTCTTTGGAATAAACTAACTTCTTATTTAGATTTTAACGTTACCCCAGAAACTCTGCGTAAAAAGTTGAATGCTCTTCCGTTTGAAGCCTTTCATGAAAATATCCCCTCTCGTCTCCTGTGAATTTGCCATATTTCCGGGTACCCGTCAACTCGTTGGGGTTGACTCTTTCCCGTGTATTGTTATTTCTCTGCCTATTCCTTCACTTGATCATCTATTCTTCAATTATTTTTTTATGTTAAATAATGGCAGTGAATAAACTATCTATTATTATACGAATGCTTTTTTTGACTATTATGTCGATATGATGATGCATTTTCAGATCGGAACTGAAATTAACTCCTAAATCTCTAATCACCTCTTGTTTGGGGATGAATTCCTCTCCTATTCTATAGTCGTTCCAGATTCCCCTTCTTTTACCATACCGCACATAGACGCTTTTAGAGCTAGAAATAGATAGTTGCCTTTCTAAAAGCCAGTATCTTATTGAGTTAATATCTGATTGCAGCTTGAGGTTATAATTATCAGTTTCTGAGCTTATGAATAATTTTACGTCATCTGCATAAATGAGCATTTTGCTATGTTTTACGACACTAGTTATATCATTTATGTATATCACACTAAGAATAACTGACGAGATAAACGCGAGCTCGGTGGCG